GTGACAGTACCCTAAGCAGAAATCGAACATGGACCTTTGAGGTAAGAGGCATGCACCAAACCCAGTGTACCAATGCACCACTCAACAGATTAAAGTGGAAATAAGTTATTTGATATACACTACACCCCTAATGGATCACCACAGAGCTGTGTCTTGTGCCGCTTATTGTACATTTTGCATTCTAATGATTATAAGAACAAATATAATGTTAAGCTTGCTGATGACACAGCCCTTGACACTTTAATAAAGGATCCAGAAAACCATCATGGGTCCATTATAGATGTAGCAGAGCATATTAAATGAAGCTACTGTTTCACTGACATCTAACGCACCACTCGTGCCAACTATTGATCTTCTTTGGCCAGTAAGAAGCTGTTTGGCAAGCCGATTCATACAGTATATGGTATGCCGCGGCAAGATTGCCATGGACAAGACTTTTGACACACATTCTGAATGGCTGCATCTGTGGTTCAAACAAGCTCAAACGCACATCATATGTGGTTTTCTTATGTTCCATGCTTCAAGCACATTCTGTGTCAGTGTTTTAGTATTTTTTATTTGGGGGAATGTGATAGCACTGATCGCAGACCAGCACTGTCAGTTAAAGCCAAAATATTAAGCATGCTATCTTCACATCTGTCAGCTTATTTTGTCATTATTAGAGTATGTCTAAAGGACTAAAATTACCTGAAATTTGTTACCTTGTATTTTAAAGGAAGTTTATCACTTTAGATTATATAATATTGCATTCTGCAGAGCTACCTTTCCTCTTACTTGCAGTTATTGTTGTATTTGTTGTAAGTGCTCAGTGCTCAGTGCTATTATCAGTCCTATGCAAACACTATAAGTCTGCATTCATCCATACCTAGGACACACAGAAACGCAGACTTTGGTAACTTTTTATCATACTGCGATGATGTTCATTTTGAGGATTTTCATGGAGGAGCAGTCCACTAGAGGGCAGCATATTGACCTTCCAGGGACACAGTACTAAATAAGGTTGCACAAGTGCAAGAGGAATCGTCTTTAGTTATTGCTCATTTCAGTTCTCAGTAAAAAGCACTCAGCAAGCATTGTCTAGTCTGTTGTTAGATTAGACCTGCTTTTGTTTAGTGATCATTGAAGGCGGCAGTAAGGTGCTCTCTCGTGAGGAGACAATGTGGGGAAAATAGTCATTATTGACAGCTGCTGTGTCAGGGATGCTGGTATCATTGTTTAATACCCCTGATATAAGATAACACAGCTACACAGGATGAGCATGTTAGATTTTTCTAGGGAAAGATCAGACCAAGTCAAGGCTGGGAAGGTTGAAAACTTCAGGACTGATATGTCTTCAGCCCTGTTCTGTACGTGCCTGTGGTAATAAAGAGGATTTTAAAGAGAGGTACATAACAAAAAAATCATAATCTAAGTTCAATGTAGATTTTCTCAAATGCTATAGTCATTTTCATAGGCTAGGAAAAGAGTTTTTTTGCAGTTTTATTCCACGTTTCTCCACATTTCATTCCATGGTTGAATATTGAAGGCCTGTTTCTCCTTCAATGCCAAATGGAGTTGAGAGGACTTTCTGGGCTGCAAATGATCTTCTGCAAAACTTAAAGATTTATTTTAATCATAAAAATTTTAAAAATGATATGATGTTTCTATCACAAATATGAGCACTTGTGATTGACATCAATTACACAAGTGCAACCTTCACTGAAGAAGTCTTTTACAAGCTGCCCAGCAACGTTGCTGCTGATACCCTGGCTTCCTTCAAAACACTTTATACACCATCGTTCCATAAACACAATTGTATCCAAAAAATATAATCTAGAAAATATAAGGCTCCACAGCTGAAATGTTGTGTTTTCTCTCTTCTCTTTTCAGCATCTTTATCACTAGATGACAGGTTCACTAAGACCAGTGCACTCAGCTTGGGGGTGAGTGGAGACATTGTTTTCAATCCTCTGAGGTTTTTACTGTGGTTGCCAGTGACCTTCTATGCTCCAGTACCTGTGTTCCAGGTGTTTCTGCAACTGGTCCAGGGAAGGTCAGGGCTGAAGGAGGAGAACAGGTAGGATGGTGATATAAAGAGTGCTGCTGTAGATCATGATAATCACAGCACAAAAGCTAATGTCTGTAGAGAAAGAATCAGAATTGGACATACAAAGTTTTCAGTTCAGCATTGACCTGCCTACAAAGTTATTCTTGGAATTACAGTAGTGAAAGCAGAAACGTTTTCATAACGGATGGCAGTAATCTCTTATAGTCTCATAGATTTTTTTGTTTTCCCCTGCTCATTATGAGATTTCTAGAACATTTTCTTTTTTTCTTTCATTCCAATTGAGTACAGAGTATAGACTACAAAAGGGTGACTGTAGCAAAGGAGGGGGTGGAAATACAGTTGAATTCCCGTCATTTAAGAGAACCACAATCTTCAGATTTTCATGGGGAAATCACTGAACTGCCTGCACCTGGAGACTCTAGCTCCCTTGGTTTGGGCAACTCATAAGGATGCCCCCTAGTGGCTTCCACTGGAGCTGTTCCGGGCACGTGCCACTGGGTGGAGACACGCTGGGGGGATTACCTCTCTCAGCTGGCTCGGGAGCGCCTGAGGATCCCCCAGGAGGAGCTGGAGTCTGTTGCTGGAGACAGGGAAGTCTGAGCAGATCTACTCGGCTTGCTGCAACCGAGACCCTCACCAGGAAAAGCGGAGTGAAAATGGATCTTTAACAAAAAATCATCTTTAACAACCATGCAGGCTTCTTCACAAAACCAGCTATGTTGAGATATTACCCTGAAAGTTAAAACTAGGCCTACATTTTTCACTATTGCATCATTACAGGAACCTGAGACCACAAGATGCAAATCGCTTTATAAAAGAGAACCCCAAGTTGAATTTAGCCTTGACAGGTGACTTTCAACGAAAACATTGGACACCAGCTGCAGAGCAATGGAACTACTGCCTGATCCTATTAACAAATGCAGCACCACAAGGCACAACACACCAGGTCAAAATGTAAGTGATCTGTGTACAGATCCTTACCACCAGAGTCCCTAAGCTCTGATCAAGGCCAGGACACATGGACCAAGTTATATAACTGGTCCTTACACAACACTGAGCGTTCCCCCAGGAGAACTGCGAGCAACAGACTGGTTTATCTTCCAAAACACATGAAAAATGTGGCCATAACCAGCACCCTCCTTCCATGAGATTTTTGACACTGGTATGAATATATATGTAAATTAGTTTGGTTTTACCTTTTGTCATCCTAAGTCTGTACTTGGTCCAACCACAGGACTATAAAATGCTTGTTTAAGATTGATTTAAAATTCGAAAATTATTTTAGGGGTTCATGTGGACTTGATTTAAAAAGTGTGAATCGACAATAAAAAGGCCAGCAAAATGCTTTGGAGTGTTAATAAGTATATTTTAATAGATGGAGGACAAACACAAATGGTACAATCCTAAAATGCATAAGTTAGACTGCACATTGAATTTTGTCTTCAGTTTTGGTCCCTGGACTACAAGAAAGACACTGCTGCTCTGGAGGTACTAAAAAGCAGAGGGACCCACCAGACATAAATTCCCATCTGGAAGGGAATGTCATTCTCACACAGTCTGAGGGAAATGAAATGCTTTAATCCTGGAACCAGGACATTACGTGAGACCCTGAGTTGGGTTTGCAGAATCTTTGACCCGGAGGACTTCTTTGGAGTCAGCAGTGACATAAGGGCCCAAGGAAACTCGGGAAAATGAAGTTTCCATTCAGGACAGAGAATAGGAGACACTTCTTTACACAAGGGATTGTGGGAGTCTGAAAGCAGCTCCCTGTGCATGTGGTTAAGAGCTTGAATTTAAGATACTAGCAAACAAACTAACCAAATGGTCTGAATAATTCCCTCTCTTTTGCAACCAGTTTTTGAGTTCTTCTATTCTTAATATGAGAAGTGCGAAGATTGTTCCCAGGAGGTTTATTTTAGAAAAAACGGCATGGGAATATTATTATTATAATATTATAATATAATATTCATATAATCTTCATGGGAATATTATTTAAGCACCCATTAATCCTCCTGCTTGCCAGCTCATTGAGCGTGCAAGGTTTTATAACAGATCAGAGGTCTTCCCACGTGGTATTTATGCAATTAGGTCTTTTAATACAGCTGGGCTGGGCTCCTTACATACCTTAATACTTTAATTAGAGAAATTCCAGGAGATCATTTTAAATGAAAAAAAACAAAAACACTGACCATACTGTCGTTTGAAAAGTTAACTTTATAAACAAATCTGATATTTCTTGAATTAGCTAATACATGCGTTGCTTGTGATCTTTCAGGGGCTGGGAGCCCAGATATTTTGTAGTGAACTGGAGGTCTCCTGCAGCTACACATGTACAAGTAGGGCCTCTGTGTTCCTGTGCTCTAGGCTTGTATCTTTTCAGCCGAGGAGCGATAAAAATGAAGAAAAAAAAACATGAGCCAACTATTTAAACTGGAACACCAGCTGCTGATGAAGTAAGACTCTTTCTCCTGGGAAAGACCTGGGGCAGAACCTTTATTACAGTATGTTTATGGCAGAATGGCTGAGCCACAAAATCTGCTCTCTCCGGTGAGATACGCAGTTTAAAATCTCAGCCACCTTCCTCTTCATCGTGGCAGTTACCCAAAGAACGATTTCTGCTCCTCTAAATCACACTAATCTGAAGTAGTTAACTAATTACTGTGCTCCAAAGACTTTGTTAACCATGATTGTGTTACACCTGGGCTGGGAGCGACTCGCATCCCGATGTTGCCCAAGGCAACCAGCACACTTGCACAGGCTCTCGGCCTCCTTCCAACCCCATGTGAACTCACTCAGGATGTGCTTTTCAAAGGCTGCCAATTTTTGGCACAAATCAAGAACTTGTATTAGCAGGAAAATGTTTGTATTTTAAAAATTTATTAATAAAAGGAAACGTTTACAAAAGCAAGACTTGTAACAGCTTTGTCCGCCATTATATGTCATATTTAATAACTAAATAGGTTATTTTTTAATATACTCATTTAATTAAACTATATAAAACTATAATTTTTCCCATTATAAAACAATCCATAGCAAAACACAAAAATACGTAATATATTCACAGGAGCATAAATGTCAAACTTTGAAAAACCTTTGTGGTATATTTGTTCCCCTGTTCTAGGCATAAATGTAGAAAATTATTTGATATAAAAAATAGATGTTTTGCCTCAAAATGAAAGTTAATCAAAAGTGGGAATATAATGAAGTAGAAAAGTGTGTATTTCTCTCCAGTTTAACAAATCCAGGATAATGAAACCACTGGTGACTAAAATGCTATGTGTACTTTAACATTCAGGAAGAGTAGGTGTGTTTTGTCCTCTGAATTGACATTCCTGAACTAAATAAACTGAATAAATATATTTATATTAATTTGCAAGTGTATATTTTAGGCAAACAATTGAATCATATTGAATTGTTTGGCAATCCAGGCAAACTAAGGAGACGTGCTCAGTATTAGACTAAGAGATGTCCATGAACCCTGTAATATGTCTTTTTGATCACACATTTCCTGTTTTTCTGTGAAGCCCTCAGACCGACCCTTATTAACAGGTTACTGGCTGGCTATGAAGGAACACTCTTCACTTCTACATTGACACACCTCTCACTGGAGAGGTCCTGACGGAGGTCAGACATCAGATGGCCAATGTCTTTCTTCTCCTTCCGGGTCAGTGGAAGGTCATTTGCGGGCAGACTGAGCAGACGCAGCCGCTGGGAAAAATAAAGGGCAGTGGGGTCACTTTTACGTTACAAGACACAAGGATGACCTCTAAGGAATGTTTGCTTTGGCACATGTGTGTGATATTTTCACAGCATAGATTCATTTACTGCCAAGCCATGACGCTCCGTGGTCTATATTTATCTCTTCTGCACCACTGTGTGATTTACTGTACTTTTACATTCATTTGTCAATAATGTTTTTAACATAGTATTCACCAAAATCACACACACAGGAAGTGTGGGAAACTCATTGTTATATGATGGACAATTCCGGAACAGCAGCTCTATAGAGGACTGGAAGCTGATACCTAGAATTTCCAAGACAGAATGTTTGTGGCATTTTGTGGCATTTCTCACCTACCTGGCGTAAGGTCCCGTTGGTGTGGCTGAGTTTATAGACCATCCACAGGGGGATCAGTGAGAGGGAGGAGAGGGCCAGCAGCCAGCCCAGGACATACGCCCAGTCTGGATACACATAGGTGTTGTTGAACTTCAGAGGGGTATACTTCACCAGGGAGAAGATGAAGGTGCCCTGGGGGAGGGGGGGACACAGTGGTCAGCAACAGCGAGAGGACACAAGAAGGAGAAGGAAGATGAGCGGTGGCTGACCCTTGCTCTGGGGGAGTCTTACATACCTCTCATGTGTGTAAACCTAAACCATGAAAGTCAGAGTGCTGCAGTCACTGTGGTGGCTGGTTGAGTATCCATTTGTTTAGGAAATTACACCTTGCAGTTTTCATAGACAATGCTTATTTTTTAATTATCTTTAGCTCAGAGCGTTGAGACCAAAGTGATTCTCTGGAGTCTTTTTGGGATTAACTCTGTAGTAGTGTTCTGAAATAACAGGGCAGGCGGAATCCACAGATCCACCTTAGAACTGATGACTCAGTGCTCAACTCACTGTGCAGATGGCCGGGGTGATGTAGAGCCAGCAGTACTTCATCACAGGCCAAGGCCGATAGCCAATCATGTCTTCGATGTTGTCATAGAAACGATCGGCACCTGCAGGAGGCAGGCTGAAATAAGGGAAAGGCATGCACCTGGAGACCTTCGAGAAGGAGTGAGGTGTGGTTTACCACTCTCCACTTAGAATGGAAATTGCACAGGAACCAGTGTCAGATGTCCTAGGCAGACTGGGGAATTATCTGTTATCACATTTTAAATTGGGCAAATCCAACTCCACTATCATGAAGACTTCTTTGGGAATAATGTGGGTGTGGGACCCTCATGAAAAAAAAACATGTGGAAGTATGGTTAGTGGAATTGAAAAGCAAACAGGATATGCACCCATGGAGTCTTGTGATTGCAAGCATGAGTCTGTCTGCATGAGGAGGTGGAATTGAAGATGCTGTGCTAGCAGTGCGTGGTGTGTATAGGCGGGGGTCCTGTACTCACCGTACACCCAACCAATGCACATGGACTGACAGAAGGCGAGGAACAGCAGGGTGGTGCCACTGCACACATAGTGATCGAAGAGCTGCAGGAGGTACAGGCCCCCCTACAGAGAGAGTTTCAAGTTGTTCACTATTATTCCCTGCATGGCAGTTCCAGGCATAGGTGGCTCAAATGAATTGACATTCATCTTGTCCTAATATTATATGGTTCATTTTACTCTAAAGGGATAAATAAACACAGAGTTGAGAACTAGCTAACCAAGGAAGGAATGAAGAGTTTCGAGTCACTACTGTACATCTCTGCATGCTTCTCAAATGTAACAGGCTCTGCTACACATTTATAAAAACAACACAGTGATTAAAAGCAGGATCCCTGTATCTACAGGTGTTCAGAGCCAAAGGAGGTAGAAATGTCACAAATTGCACAGACGTGAGTTAATGGCTAACCCAAGCACTCACCTCAGTGACCATGAGGAGTCCGAGCAGGAAGCAGCACACACACAGGAACAGCAGGAGGAGCTCCCGGCGGTATCCTCTCCGAAGGACCATGGGGAAGAGGTCCATCACTGAGGTCATTAAACTCTCAAGACCCACAAACTGTGGAAACAGGTGCAGGTCAAAGTGTAAAGAAAGAGGGGTAGAGAGGAGCTGGAACAGGTCACATGGCGTAGTGTGAGAGAATGATAGAGGATCGGAGAGAAGAAACTGAAGAAAGGGCTAGATAAAAAAAAAGGAAAAGGACACATATTGTGGGGCTAACCTGGCTGTCTATACCCAGGAGGATGATCATGAGGAAGAAGCAAGCGGCCCAGAGCTGGGGTAGAGGCATCATGGCCACCGCACGCGGGTACACAATGAACGCCAGACCAGGACCTGCACACGTGCGCAGAGACATAATGTACACATAGAGGCAAGATCCTCCTAGCAGCAAAGTGTAGTTTAGAGCCTCTGCTCTGTCTCTTTATGAGCACCTTACCTGACTCAGCCACCAGTGTGATGTCCACTCCCTGTTCGTACGCCATGAAGCCCAACACAGAGAAGATGGCAAATCCAGCCACAAAGCTGGTAGTGCTGTTCAGTAGGCAGAGATAGAAGGAGTCCCTGCATGAAGAGAGACCATTGTGTCAATCATTTCAACACAATCCTCCCAACCTCTCCCCCTCTGTTGTTGAGACACTTGCAGACTGCAGGACCTGTACAGTCATGTCATTTTAAAGGTACACTGTACACTGTGACCTGTACTATAAAATGATCCTCCACTCTCAAAGAATTGATGAAATTGGCAATAGTCTTTAAGATTAATTGTTTGCAGAGGGACATATGGTGAGGAGAGTTCATTGTGATCTCTATGTCTTGTTTAGTCTTGCAAGGCAACAGGACTTTAAGTAAAAAATGTTGTCCCATTGAAGCAAAATAGTATCAAAGATTTCACTATCTTATGTCAAAGTTCATCATCAGTACAATGAATAAAGTTCAGTCAAGTCAGGTAAACAAATAGTATTCTAGAAGAATTCTAGAAATCCTGTTTGCTGAGAGTGCTAGAACAATCTCTTTGTTACAAAATGAGGACATGAAGAATAAAGTCAACACTCTCCTGGCAGGTTTATTCAGAAAAGCAGAATCCTCTAGCTCAAGGGTCAGATCTATTGTGAAGGTCTGAGTGAGGAATTTTTCTGGGCTGGTGTGTAGAGAACATGCAAATTCAGAGATTTAAACTCTGTTTCACACCTGTAGCAGTTGTTGTTGTACTTGTTGTAGCTCCCAAGAGAAGTGAGATAGCCCAGACAAATGGCATAGGAATAGAAGATCTGAGTCCCTGCATCCATCCACACCTGGTGAAAAGACAAAAGTGCCAATTTGTCCAAATTTAAAATCTTTAGGACAGTTCTGGTTTTAAATTAGGAAAAGGACACCTGTAAAAGAATTTCCTGGAATCCTTGGAGAAACAGCAAGATCCACACATCAGTGAGGTTCCAGAAACCAAAAGAGTACAGACTCTACTCTTATTTGTGACTTTGTTTATATTCTTGTGTTCAAAAGGGGTTGCCAGATGACTACTGTAGTCATGTGTTCCTTTCTTCTCAGTTTTATGGGTTTGTCCATCCTGCTATATTCATGTGAAACAAGCTAGCAAGCTAGCAAGTGTCAATCAGGACTCCTAACAGAGTGGAAAAGCACTATTGTATCTTACCTGTGGGTCAGCGAGCCTTGCTGGGTTAGGGTAGAGGTAGAAGACCAGCCCATCAGCAGCTCCGGGCAGGGTGAGTCCTCGGGCCAGCAGCACCACCAGCATCACATAGGGGAAAGTGGCTGTGAAGTAAGAGGCCTTTAAAGAAAAACAGGTTCTAATTATTTAAATGGCAATACTAGTTAATGAGTTAAAACAGGATTGTATGAATATTGGAGCTCAACTGGTTTTCCGAAGGCTGATTAGTGACATGATTATGAAACTGCAGTTTTAAAGGGACCCTATTCCAGGAATTACCCCTTGCAAGAGATAACAGGATTGAGTTTGTTCAGTTTTAATGTTAACCTCAGGTGCACCCTGCAATTTCTTTGTTGCTGAAGTGTTTGTTGGTAGATTATCGCACTATAAGGAGAACTACAGCAGTCATTAAGGCAAAGACTGGAATACATTTAAAAAAAGCTCAAGAAAAAAGAGAGAGAGATCACTGCAGGGCCATTCAGCTTCAATGTGTTTGTAACTTGGGCACCATTCATCTCCAACTGCTGAATACCATAGACATCAGCAATTTAGCCTTGGGCATATCTTCTGAGTGTTATTCTCATTCTGACAGCTTCCTGCAAGTCAACAGCTCCTCAAAGTTTGCTGCTTGCACGTTTCAACCACAGTTAATTGTTCAAAGCTGAAAATTCACACCTTTTTCTAAACTCTTTCAGGTCGGGGCAGGAGCAGGAATGCTGGTGAGCACTGGATTAATTCTCTGAAAGGCTTACTGGCAGGCGTAGAGAAGGTTAGGCTGCTGTGACTAAATTCCCATTTACTAATTCGGGAATGAAAGATCGTGTGTGTTCCCAGCCCTCTGCTGATTATGAGTGTTTTACAACCTGTGACTCAATGCAGAGAGCAGCTGTTAAGGTCACTGGCTTTTGAGGCCCAGGCGAACCAGAGAGCACAGGAAAAATGGAGCAGGGAAACAAAGCTATTGAGTGTGTGTGTGAAACCCAGAATACCTTGCAATGCATGTTTCAGATGTATGCATTTATCCCTTCACCTCCAGACACTGCTCAGTTAACTGAGAAGGTAAGGAGAAGCTCCAACACTCTATGTTTTTCAGTCTGTATCACCTGTCCCAACCTTATCCCCATAATAACATTCTCTCACCTTCCCTGTAGACCTCACCCCCTTCCAGACACAGAAATAGCAGATGATCCAGGCCAGCAGGAGACAGAGTGCCAGTTCCCATCTCAGACTGCCCACCTCATCAATCCCACTGGAGAGGCCCAGCACCCTCCTGCTGCAGGGACCAGAAAACGCACAATCAGAGAGGAAAAACTCTTGTTTCTCTATGCTCCTGGAATTGCTTGGATTTCCTACTTACTGCCAAAACTCCATGACAGGTGATGTAGCATTCCCTGGAACACTTAAGTTGGAATTGAGGTGATGCTTGTCAAATTCCACACAGGTAGCTGCAGGAGATTCATTAAGATTCATTACCCTACGGAAGGCTATATCATTAAATAATCTAGAGCAGTGTCTCTGTAATAGTACAATTGTTTTGTCAGTAATTGGGAAAAACATAATTTAATAATGCACTGGGCTCTGAGGTCTTATAACTTAACTCATATCTAGTTGAGCAAACCTGGCATACTATGGTTATATATGAATCAGTCGTAATCTCCATTTGATTTTACTGTCTGGCTGAAATGCTAAACAAATTCCTAAAACATATTTTTGGAAAAGAACCTAAGAAAGGTTATAGATGAGAGAAAGCAGTTCAGTCATTAATTCTGGTAGATTATTGATGTGAGGATCTTATTCAGATTACATCATGACCACATTGCTGCTTGGTTTGTGTTAAATTTCCACAACCATGTGTGTGAAAGAGTGCTTCCCATTTTCAGTTTTAAATGCACGTTTATGTTTCCACTTGTGTACTGTGATGTGCCACTGCTGATTTGAAATAGGACCATTGAGGTGATTCGGTCAATGCTTTTGAGGACTTAGAGATTTGTATCTTCCAGTATACTCAGTTAGGAATTGTTGCTGTGTGTTAGTCTGGCTCAAATTTGTTATTTTTAAGGTTAAAAAATAATGAAAGCAGAAATGATCAGTAAAAGCTTTCACTTACCAAACCACAGATTTCAACACCTTTGTATTTAATTGCACATGTAAGATAATTGGCAAATTAAAAAGCAAAGGTAAATTTCCTTTTTATTTAATAAAAAAAGAGACAACAGTCCCTCCCTTTAGAATACTGGCATGTACTAGCACTACCTGATGAGAAATCGGAACAAGCTGCCAGCAGGCACAATTAGTCTTTCATAAGCAAATTTCTGTTACAAAACCCTGATTACCCTGCAAAAGACTGCTGCTGTTACTTCATGAGAAAGTGCCCGTGTCCCTCCCCTGGGTATGCACATCAAATTCATCCAGCATTACCCTGCTATGTCACCTGGCCAGCTCTTTCTCCACCAAGGCCTGGTGAGCAGGGCTCTCCATCACCGCTTTTGGATTAACAGCTCCCTTCCAGTTGGAATGCTGTTGTTACCTCATAGGGAACCACAGGACCCAGTCCCAACCTGCTTAAGCTTGTAATGATGATTGATCACAAAGGGAGAATGCTAAACAACAGAGGGCATCAATGCAGCTGTCATTGCAAGAACAGTCAAAAGCCACACCTCTGCCTCAAAAGAATCCCCATTATAGAGGGTCCCAGATGAGAATGAGTTCACAGCCAGCCAGAATCAAAGGCCACAGTGCTCATAGACCATGCTGACAGCATCAATGACCACCTGGCCAGCTGGTGCTTGGAAAGATCTGCACCTAGTGATCAGCCCCTGAAGGTTATGAAATGATAGTTGGATCTCTTGAGGGGACATGTTCTGAATCCAAAGCATGTTGAAACCTGTTGCTGTGAAAGCTTCCTTCTGTGTCACCAGCTCATTGACATGGAACAACAACAAGGCCTTAAATACTAAGGCCAGCTCAAGTCGCAACAGCATAACAGAAAGGGAAAGGCATCAAAAACCAAGAAGAGGATGACAATAAGGGCTTTAACTGAGGCTCAAAGGAAGAACATTTCAGTACCTCCAGGACAATGTGGAGGCCCCATGGTGGAACCAACTCTGTGCAGGAGGTGGGAGACATGGGAGTACAATTCTACAGGTTTACTAATTTACACTGTCTCAACATTCCAATAGGAGAAGTCAAGTAAAGCTGGAGGATTTAGTAGAGATATGTAATCACAAAAAAATCTTAATTCTGCATAGTGTGCAGTGTCACAGTATGAACTCAGACTAAGTTCTAGACCCTCAATGTAAACTCCAATGCCTCTGCTATACAAAATATCTCCTATAAAACTGTGAGCTCTAGTACCCAGCTCTAGACCCTAGGGGTGTATGTAAGGACTCCACTACCCGGTTCTAGACCCTAAGGGTGAGAGTATGAACTCCACTACTCAGTTCTAGACCCTTGGTGTGACAGTTTGAACTCCACTACCTGTGTTCCAGGGGTTTCTGCAATTGGCCCAAGGCAGCTCCCAGTTGAATGAGGCTATCAGGTAGAAGAAAGCCCAGCCCAGTATCGTTATGTAAGAGATGGCTCCATATCCAATGATCAGTTGACTGGTGTAGCCCATACCTGGAATGAATTATGTTTTTAATTTGAAAGATTTCATTATTTTAATAGCAAATAGAATGAAAGGTGGTTGTTCTCTGAAACATACATAAAGTGACGGAAACTGTGTGAAGACTGTTCTGAGTGAACATGCCATTTGTGTTAATGATTTTTGCAAATCCCCATCATAGACTCAATGGATCTAATGAAGTGATGCAATAACAGTAGCACTTTAAAAAAAAAAGAGGTATTCTGTCATTTTCTGCAAAAACATGAAGGCCTGGAGCACAATACGTGGAATCACATCTGTAAAGTCTTCCTGCCACTGTAATTGTGTAACCCTGATAAATGCAGCAGGTGTGGCAGGTGGAAGTTACTGGAGGTGTTCTCACCTGAAAGGGAACGCTTTATGCCCCCAGGTATGAGCTGCTGATGGGGAGAATGCAGTCTGTTGGTTAAAAGCTTCAGTTTTAATCATGTAACTTATTATCTTAACAAAGAGCCCCATGTTCACAACAGTGTAAGATTTAAAGATGTTTAAAGAGTTATTGTTGCCTTGAAATTTGAGCCAAAACTACACACCTGCTGTATTTGGTTATTCTGTTCAAGTACTGAAGGAAATCTGACTTCATTCCCATCAGTTTTTCTCTACCCACTGCTCATCATCATAGATGAGGCCACCCTAAATTCTCCATCTCTTCAGTCTGAACAAAGCCAGAAGTACTGTACTGCTCTGCCATTGGATTTTTAAAAGGCCTTTAAAAGACCTTGCAACCCTATCATAGCAGATTACATCACAAAATAGTTTTCAAAATACACCAAGACACATTAAGCCAAAATGTCATAGCTGCTTACACAATCCACAACACAGAAATCTCTGAGGACATTCAACTATGTTAGGGAATTTAGGTCATAGTGTGCTGTGATCATGACACTCTCTGTGATCGCCTTAGGACAGGGAGATAACCTGCTAAACTGCTCTGTTTCTTCTCCTAAGTGCTGATATACTGTATCAGGTATATCAGGACAGCATCACAATACAAGTGACAACAATGCCCTGTCTTCATACCAGACATTCTCATATTCATATGAGGAAGAATAGACTATAATAATGGCACACACCCTCAAACAGGGGGCAGATCTTCCTCCAGCAGGTGATGCCCCCCTGGCTGGTGTACTGCCCCAGAGCCGTCTCCAGCAGGAATAGGGGGATTCCACAGGTAAAGAGGAACAGGACGTAGGGGATGAGGAAGGCACCTATTTACAGGAAAAATAAATTCTAAATTTGACTTGGAAGGTGAATTGGAACTTTAGCATATGAATGGAGTATATGTTGTGAAAGTAGATTAAAATGTATTAAAAATGATGCCAACAACATGTACTGTACAGGAGTGTCTTGATTTTTGAGTTGCATGTTTCATAAATCAAAAACAAATTCCCATCTATATAGAATCTATATAAATAAGGACAGGAGGAGCATTCTGGGTCCCTCCATATTTATACATGTTTTAAATTTATTTTACATTTATTTCACATTTATTTCCATAAGATGTTTATATAGTTGTACTGAAAGCATTTGTTTAAATGTTTGGCAGAGAATTACATGGATGCCCGCAGAGTCGTCTTTTGTTGCCAGACTCTTCATCAAAAAAAGCAGAAGCTCTGCACAGAGGAAATTTGCAAATCATAGAGGAGCTGCATGATCACCGAGCAGAGGGAAAATCACAAAGCCAGAATCACTCTTCCACACACCAAAATAAACAAGTACAGCACACAATGAAAAAAATATAGCCCAGCACAACACAAAAAGTGCCATCGTCCACACAGACATCACAAGCAAAAACCTCCCTTATCCCAGTGCTGCTGTCCATCCGTGGGGAACACCAGATCCAGGCACTGAAGGAGAGAATTTCCTTGAAGGCCAGTGTAAAGTGAATGATGCATCAGGTGGGAATATGCACTATATACTGTATTTCTATAGAATAAATTCAAACTATGTCTGACAGGGATTACCCTAAAATCCAGGGTTATGCTCAAGCTTTATAGCACACTATTAATGCTTCACTTACAATATTGTGCTCAGTTTTGGTCTTCTTAGAGCCTTAGAAAGGTTAAAAAAAGAGCAATAAGAATAATTCCTGGTGTCAGGGAATATACAGACAGGTTAAAGGAAATCAGTCTCCAGTCTGGATTGCATGAGATTGAAAGGAGATTTGATGTATAATGTATAATAAAGGGGAATCTTTCAAACTCAATAGCAGAACAAGAACACGTAGTTACACTAGGGAAGTAATGAACTAAGAGAAAGTTCATTCAGAATGGAGAATGGGAAAGACTTTACACACACAGTTACGGGTGTCTGAAACTCAAGCAATAAACTACTAAACAAGCATGCTGGGTTGAGTGGTCTCCTCTTTTTGCTGTTCTTCGTCCTTCTGTACAGTGTGCTAGTCAGCAAGTTAGACTAAACAAACCTTCCCTGCAGAAGCCCCAAGGTCCCAAGAATGAAAACTCACTGCTGCTGCAAGCAGATCTTTGGGGTTCTGTGTAAATCGAGCACCTTAAATATGAAACAATATTCACATACCGTACTGCACACAAACACTTCCGCATTCATTAATCAGGTAATTAGTTAGTTGATTGATTGATCTTAATGTCTTTAACCAAAGCAGCTTACAATACATTACTGCTGAACTGTAAAGATAAACTCAGTGCAAAACAAAAATGTGATACACAAAAGAAAAAAAAAATCATAAATAATAATAATAAAAATTGTTGTCTCAGGAGAAGATCTTTGCTGCTTGCGTTTTGAGCCCTCATGGAGCCCATGAGAGCAGGGAGAGTTCAGGTGAACACAGCAGGCGTGATGAGGCGAAACAAGACCTTAACTGACTCGAGACACCAGGGTGACCAGTGTAGCCCATACTCTGCTGGTGACTCATGACTGCAAGAGATTCATCTCTGCTTATCCTCTTGTGACCATGCCTTCTGAACAAGACACAGACTCAGCTATGCACTTTAAAATAATAAAAACTCTCGATGTACTGTAAGTGCTGAGACAATAGCACTCATTGCAGAGCCCCTGTAAGAGTTTTAAAAGTCAGATTTTAGTTTTAAGAATAAAAAAAGCAAGAAAGAGAAATAAAATGAGAAAGGCATTTATCTTAATTTCCTGAAGAAGTTCTTTCCAGTGTGTTCCATCTGCTTTATAATGGTTAAAACAGCAGAATGAGAAAGGAAAATAGAACAGGACTGCTATATAAAAAGTTGCAATATGATTTGCAAATGCTCCTGAAGATCTTTGTATTCTTCATAATTAAAACAGAACAGAGACTTACATTTCATGTTTTAAGAATCAGTGCAACCAGCACATAACAAATCTACAGGAATATACAAATGGAAATTCTGCATCTTGACGTGTATAGAAAGTATGAATTGTCACTCACCTCCTCCATTTTTGTAGCACAGGTAGGGGAACCTCCACACGTTGCCCAAACCAACGATGGCTCCAGCTACAGCCAAGATGAACTCCCACTTGTTTGCCCACTGGCCCCTCTCCTGGATCTTCTGCCCCTTCTGCACCAGCCTGCTCCCCTGGACTGGGGGCTCACGCTGGGCTCCTGCATGCAGATCCCCGTCCATCCCAGTGGCAGCCAGAGCAATAGGGAGCACACTTGTCCGGAGAGATGTCATTCCTGGCTTTAAAGCAGAATCAACAGGATGTATGACTGTCTGCAGCAGGCTTAAGGAGAAGAGCACACAAATGGTGAAGAGCAGGCTGGCCTGAGGGCACAGCAGCTTGATTGTTGCAACATGTTTCAGAGTCTTCACTCCTTGTAAGGAGCTACTGGGGTTACGCTCCGGTGTCCTTATCTTGCACTGCAGACAGGGAGTGTGCCTGGAGCCACATCGCAGGACCTGGGATCTGCCTGAAGGACTGCTGGAACCCTTGCTCTGTCAGATATATATATATACTGTATATAGCAGTGTTCAGCAGCAGGGGGTGGGTTCACTACATCAACTCACCATTTAAAAAATAAGCTCAGAACCACCATCTGAAATCGTAGGTGTACATCAATATGTATATTTAATCTATAATGTTGTGCAAAACATCTGAGACATTTGGCTTTGTTCTTCTCTTATCACCCAGTACTTTTCCTTTTATGTGAAGAGATAGCATTCTGTGGCTAACCTCAGAAACTGCAGCCTTTTTGTTTTAAATTAACAGTTCATCCTGATAGATTTGTGTTGTGTTGCCAAAAAGCTGTCTTTTAGTTTTGTGGCAATGTTAGAATGATGAGGAACGTCTCATAAAAATCAATTACTGTAGATCTAATGAGTAACTGTGATGGAGTAGCTTCTCCAGTACCTTATATTGGCGGCTCCTCTGTAGCTCACCCTGAGCTGTTTTAGATAATCCAGATCAATGTGAGTTAAAGATTCTAAGTTACAGGCTTGGTTTCTAATAACCCAAAGTATTAATAATGGAAAAATTTATATTGGTATAGATAACACTAATGGAGTTTTTGAGCAAACCGTTGATGATCATAACATATATACAGTATCTGTAACTCATAGTTACAGACATTTACACAACAGTTTAAACACACACTTGTGCATTTGTTAATATCTTAAATGATCTCTAAATACCTGCTGTATGACTTATTTAAAAAATGTACAGTATCTTCATATATCAAAAATACTTCAAATGTGCCACTGCAATGTATGTATACATTCTATGCATAAACATATGGTCTACACAAACATGCACTAGAGCAATTAATCTACTGTATGCATTACCATGTCATTGTGTGAAAATTATACAGAACTTTAAAAGAAACTTTGAGTCACACCAAGCATCTTCTCTAGGTTATTTTGTACATTCATGCTGGTACAGGTCCTGAGGCTTGCAGGACGTGTGGAGATATATTTGCTGCTGGTGAGGAGAAAATTCACAAGCTTGCTCCTGGAACCCCTTGAAAACTAAAAATACAGGTAGTAAATAAATGACTTCCTCCAAATGGAGGTTTGGCAATTGAGAGAGTTGTTGTTGTTGTTGATTAAATAATGATTATTTGCCTTTTATCTTTAAGAATGTTGTGAAACACTGAAATAGGCTTTTTTATTAAATTTTCATGTAAAGTGATGTGGTAAATTACTATGTACCATAAAATATATTTTAGGAAGGACTAAAGCAGAGGCCAAGCACAAGTGTTTATAAGCAACATTTTAAACACAATTTCAAGACAAGTCACTTACAATGGAATAGGAGAATTGCCAGTTTCCTCCTTGAGCAATGCATTGCTGGAGAAAACATATCTCTCTGGCTGATACAGTGAACAGTGAATGTCCACTTCCAGCATGAATGTGTTAATCCCTGTATCAGGTCCTGACACGCACACGGAATTGGTGCTCATTACGTTTCAAATACTTTAAAATAAAAAACTTTTATTTTGCTTTCATGGCTGCTTCTCAGCACCAGTACCATAAAATAGTAAACCAAGGCTACTGCAGTTTGTGTTTTCATTTACACATAAAGAACGAAAAATATTTGGAATATGTTGCTGACAATCTAATCAAACTCCACGAAAATCAATCGTGCTAGAATGTGATTTCCCTTAGAAACAGCAATTAGTTGCATTCTATTTGACATCCCTGCTAAGCATGAGAAGACATGGCTATATATGTAGCTGCTCAACTAAGAACACTTCCACTGAAACGGTCTTTAAAAAAAAATAAAAACATTTACGGAAGCATTCAGGTTAAAATAAAATGTCCTTCTACCTTTATCTATAAAGTTTATTTTAATTGTGAGCTGTTGCTTTTTTGCCCCTCTACTGTAAATACCACACAACCAACCCAACGCGTTGCTAAACTGACATCACCGGGAAGTGTAAAGCGGAAACTTTTGTTTTGCTTTTTTCCCCATCAGTGTTATTTCATATTTCCACAAACAAACAGTACAGAATAATGGCCGAGATTAAATAAGGAAATCAACTCACCAGCCAATCACAAAGAGTCAGTTCGCCTCTTCATGCCTGAGACTGGCCCTTGAGCCATTGTGCTTTGGTGAACTGTCGATTAGCAGAGGGATACTGGCTCCTGAGCCACAGCTTGGTGAACTGACGATGCACAAAGGGACACTGGCCAGGCCCAATCTGGTGCTGACTTCTTGTGTGAAAGCAAGCTCCAGTCCAAAACCTACTGTATACAAGCATGATGATGTTCTTGCAATCAGATTTGAAAAGACCTCAGGCAAAGTTCATTCCTTCAGCACACTGGGAGCCTGGATGGAGTTGCAGGAGGTGGGGACACAAGATTCAGGTCACCAGTATGCCAGGTTGGCAATCAGTGGAGAGCATCACAGTAAAGTACACCCCTGCTGAAATGAAATGGCCACCTTAGATTTTGCTGTCTCCGTTTCACAAACGGTCTCCTGACTCCCAGAATTCCAATTTAATTCAAGCGATGCTTGATTGAGGTGAAGAGCTAAAGGTACGAAGAGTTTGTTAAATCCCTCAAATCATGAGTGCTCACGTTTGCCCACGGAGCAGAAGCACAAGACGTTATGGCGTTCAGGGTCGAGAATAGAGGTTAGCTTTATTAGCTGAATTTATACAGTGATTGTCATCCTAAAGGATGCCAAAGAGCTTCACATACTGTGGGAGGGGCTACCTCATCCACCATGACGTGCAGCCCCACCTGGGCGCCACACAGTAGGTGCACTGTGATCTGAGAAAGTCCTGTATCCAGGACTGTATGAAGTACTTATCTAAAATAACACATTCCAGCGATCAGGAACACCCACATGAACTACACAGTTATCCACTGAGATTATCAGAAGTTGAAATCTAATATATATTTCCAGTACCATTAATCTGAAAGAATTAGGACAAAATCTCAATAATGCAAGGGTAAGTTTGTTCCAAAGTTTATTATTAAGGACTCCACACAAGCAAGTGTACTTTGCTGTAATTGTTGTCATCTACAAGGACTTCTGGTGATATAAATCAAACCTGAAGTTAAGAAAGGTAGAGCTGTCCTGTAAAGAACGAAGAGCATAGATACTAAACATTACAATACTTGACATTTACATGGTGAAAATTACTCACACAGGGTGTGTTTTTTGGGGGGCGTATGTGGGTGATGAGATTTCTTTGGATAGTATTTTGAGATGTACGTGCTGAAGGATAACCCTACTCATAATGCAGGTTGTGCTTACTGGATTGTTGATGTCCCCTGATCTTATATAAACCATGGCGAAATGCACATTGTACAGCACAAGGACTGGGAATTTGAAAATTCAGCAAAGGAGATTCAGATTGAACAGAGTCAGAGAAAGGTTACTACACAGAGAACCACAGCAGAGTCATCATCCACCTCAGTAGTGTGTCCAGTAAATTAAGGAACATCCATGATTATGATTCCTTGCAACAACATCAGAGTGTTGTTGTTTTTTCTTGGATATGCTTCTTTAAATGAAATTAAAATCTGCTGCCTTCCCCATGCAGGGAACTCTGGATAAACTGTTTGAGGCAAATATGTCAGTAATATAAAAAATAACATTGAATCTTTGGTGTCTGCTAAAATTATCCTGCAAACTACACTGAGGCTCTAAAATTAATCCAGACTGGATTACAGAGTAACACAGAGATTTAGTCTGGAGTCCTACAAACATGGCACAACCTTTTCAAAAAGCTAACATAACTCTCCTTCAGGAAATGAGTTTTGGTAGAGCTGGAAAACAGAGAATGACAATTTACATAAAGCATTTCCCAGCTACTGCAACTTCTTACCAGTTACCAACTTCATTATGCTCACAAAGCATTGAGTAGCCAAAGCATCACTGAATGACAGATAAGTCAGCAAAGCTGTGCAAATTTCATAAACCTTTTCTCCCAATTAACTATGGGAACTCTAGCGATGTAGGCTCTTTTGGACATGGCTCCTGTGTGAAATGGGAGGTGTGACAGGGTCATGTTGGCCTGTATGGGAATTGGTTGAGCCTATATGAGCAGGAGATTTTCTCTCCCCCCAAGGTCACCAGAACAAAGCAAATTCCTGGGTTCAAACCAGTTTAACCACACATCTGGCAGCTTTAGGTAAATATAAATCCCCTCAAACCTCACCACACAAAGGTCCAGAGGGGGATCTTCACTTTTCACTCTCCCCTCCAGGGTGACTCAACGTCATGCTTTCTGTTAACAACAGCCAACATGGCTGTCGGTGTAAGAATACTGACCCTGCATTCATTAAAAAATGACTGAGGGTCCTCGGAAGAAAACCACCTAGTTAAGCAAGTTTCCATTCTGCTTGTTTCAAAAAGAAAATGAGATCCTCAGGCACCTGGGAGCAGCGATCTCTGCTCGCAGACAGAAAGACTGGAAGCTCTGTTCTCATGGTCCCGCTGGAGACAGGGATCAAGCAGATTGAGAAACAACAGGATCAGGAACGACAGTGGAGGCCAGGTTCTCAAGTTTCTCTGTCTCTGTCATCTATGTCTATCTACCTAGCTGAGAACATTTCTATGCTCTGAGCTCTGACCACTAAAAACCTCTTTCTACAGCTTGAGGTAAGGTATTCTTTCTGTGGAATTGGGAAACAGAGTTAAATCATGCATATATTTTCTAATCAGACTTAGAAGATAGGTTTTATCTTTAATTATTGTGAAACTATCACTTTTTCTCTGAAATGAATAAAACATTTAAAATATTACTTCACAAAAAACATTCAAAAAGTGCAACCACATAGATGCATAAACTATCAGTTTCAACAGTTCCCTCTCTGAGACAAGATTGTGCATTTTATCAAAATGTATTCTTGCTTCAACTGCGCTACATTTATGAATAAAGAAAAATGAACTACAACATTATAAAGGTATTCCTTTCAGATGAAGCAACCCATACAGTTTTCAGATTCTTTTTTAACCAGACACTATGACCAATTACCCATTATAGGAGGCGCAGCCATCACAGCAGGCTCTGTGTACAAATCTTCAATGCCCTCAGTAGGGTACCTGAGAGTAAATCAGGCACATCTGGGTGTGCACAGTAACGAACCTCAAAACTTCATTGCTTAATTGAGCGCAGATAGGCTGTCCTGGTTGTGGAAGCCATAGTTTGAAGGGGTCTTGCTCAGGTCTTGAGGTGTGGCTGTTCAGACAGCTGCTGGGCAGGAGTCTCTAGGTGCCAGCAAACTGCATACCAGACAGGAGCCAGTTCATTAGTGCAGAGTTAATTACTCAACAGACGCCATGCCTGACACAGACTGGACTCAGGGCTTGATCTGTCTGTCCACATTAGAAGTGCACAGGTCTCTGTAAGGTAATACGGCACTTTTGCACTCACAGCCATACTGTAGCATTTGTAGATCCTCTCCTGACCCTTGCAGCTTTTGGATTGATATTTCATTTTTATGATATTCCATCCTTTCATCCATCATACCATTAACAGGCTCTGGGGCGCAGAGCTGGAAGGATGTGGGTGCTGGGTTGCAGGGCTGGAAGGATGTGGGAGCTAGGGTGTAGAGCGGGCAGGATGTGAGTGGTGGGGTGCAGATCTGGAAGGATGTTGGTACTGGGGTGCAGGGCTGGAAGTATGTGGGTGCTGGGGTGCAGAGCTGAATGGATGTGGGCGTTGGGGTGCAGAGCTTGAAGGATGTGGGTGCTGGGGTGCAGATCTATAAGGATGCTGGTGCTGGGGTGCAGATCTTGAAGGATGTGGGAGTTGGGGTGCAGAGCTGGAAGAAAGTGGGTGCTGGGGTGCTTAGCTGGTAGAAAGTGGGTATCAGGTGCAGAGCTGGTAGATAGTGGGTGCTGGGGTGCATTTCTCCATAGTTTCATAGCACTTGATAATTTTGCAAACTTGATGATATTGAATATGTCAGGTTCATTCAGCCAGGTTCATTTTGCCCATTTTCCCAGCCTGTGCATCACAGAACAGGTTGTTTACTGGTTTTGGTCTGAGTCAGTTCCAGTTTTGGGATGTGGATTTCCATCTTCTCTATAGTAAGTTAAATGGCCATCTTTAAACAGCAATGCATCAAAAGGTGTTGGCTTATAATACTTTAATCAAATGTATCCAATAAGCAAGAGCTCAAATCTCATCATCTGATAGTCTCATTAATGCTCACCCATCACAGAGCTGGCAATTGCACGCCTACTGTACAGCAGTGGTTTCCTTAAATATTTCTAGTGCTTACCCCTGGGGGACATCGTGGTTTGATGAATTAGCAGAAATATCCACACATAACATCGGCTAGTGGAAGAGGAGGCCATGGAGTTAAAGCTAAGCAAAAGTCAAATTAAATCCAAGCTTTTCTTAAATTGTTTTTTTTTTCATTTAAATCTTGTAAATCATTTAAATCTAAAGGTGATTGCAGAGCACAACAGCAAGATAGAAAATCACAGATGGGCACCACACAAATATCTGAAGGAAACACCCGAAAGCCATTTGAAGGGAAAAAACAATCATTTCCTTTAAAAAAGTGCTGATCATGAGATCATGATTAAGATCGTGAGCTACAATAACAGCCTAAATGATGTCATAAGCCTTTATAAATGCTGCAGTTAATGAAAAATAAATATAATTTGTCCCAGCAGGATCTTTGGCTATCCATGGTTGCTGAAATGGGCTGAATATCAAGTACTCTATCTAATATGCTGTATGCTTTAGCTGTGGCCCGCTAAATGACCTTAATTTTCCTGCCCAAAGATAATTTATCTCTTTCTAAATCAAACTGATAATATAAACAGCATAAAAAGATAGATTATTAAGAACCATTGCACATTTTCGGGATGATGTTCACAGATTTCAAGTATACTACGAGAGTAATAAATTGAAAGGAAAATAATGTACCTACGTTAACAATAATTGCAAATATATCATAGATCTCATTTTATTGACCATTGTGGTACAGAATAATACCTCTGTCTCTATCTGTATAAATCAGTTCACCCTGAAGCCTAAGGAGTAACACATTTTGAACTCCAGTGCCTGTGTTCTAGACCTCCCCCAAGCGACAGTGTGAACTCCAGGGCCTGTGTCCTAGACCCCCCACCGGCAGTGTAAAATCTGTGTTCTAGACCCTCAGGGGAAAGGCACTGGAGTTCACACCGTCTTTCAGGTACTGAGGAATCAAGGGAGACCTGGACTATGTCCCACTCAAGTTGAAGCAGGAAGAGAGCAAATTCCAAGCCAAACAACATGTTTCAGTAGGATGACCAAGCTTTGCACACAGACCCCACATTTTTAACCAGGAATGACACAAAGCCTCTACCCACATGGTGAATCAGCATGCTTTATTTTATTATTGATGAAACATTATTGTTTTAATGGGTGTTAACCAAGACACCAGCATTCGGTTAAGCCAACAACAGAGAGACAGCAGTCACAAACAACTAATAAAGAATTGAAAAATGTGGTAAAACACAAAAGCTATCAACTAGTGAAATTAGAACATTAATGTGCATTCTATCAAGATCAAACCCCCCAGAGCCGCACTGAGTCTCATGTAAAACTGCTGGGACAGGTTTCCATGAGCACAGCGGACTTGCAGGCTGCTGATGTCATCAGGGGTGTCTTGGAAAATCACACTGCTCTGTGCCTCACTGCAGATTCATCACTAGCTAATGTGAACTGAAAGAACGCTCGTGCCTTGAACTACTGTATGTCCAACCACATTGCAAGAGCAACGTCTCCGTATGGTAGGAAGGCAGACAAAGCACAGGACTGCCAGGATTGCAGCAGGGGGATTTGGGAGGAAAGAGTGGAAAAAGAAAAATATACAAAGTCCATTTTACTGCAGGACGTGGGCAAACCAGGCTTCAGACAATCAATCAGTCTTTCGATCTTCTCTTTCCTTGGATCAATATAGTCTTAATCAATACAGGCTCACAAATGCAAATCTGAGCGAATGACAGCAGGCCCGACAAAGGCTTCTTCACTTTGGCACCAGATCCGATGGGTTCGGACCATGCAGCACAAATGAAGGAAATACTAGCTTCCTTGTTGTTTAAAAAAGATTAGTCGTACATGAGGATATTTCTGTTATGGATACTTTGCAAAGTGGAAATGCCACACGCTGATCATCACATTTCAATACTATATACATAAAACAGATTTTTTTGCTTCAAACCAACTCAAATTCTGCTGCGCTGATACACAGATTAAAATCCGCACAAAACAGTAAACATAAGACAATGGGGTTTTGTAAAGAGAGAAGGGAATCCTGAACCAAAACAGCAATTCCACCTCACAACAGGAAAATCCTGCCTGTCTGGATCCGAGGACAAGACCAAACATTTTGTTGGCCATTTTTCCACAGATTTCACAGCAGCCGTTGGGAAGATCCCAGCAGAAACATGTTCTTTTGTCTCTCCACAAATTCTCAAACCGAGACATCTGCGTCTGTCGGTACGTTCCCTTGGGGACATCAGTCACAGTCCCACAAAATCCAGGATTCGGAAAATCCACCTCCTGGAGGGTCACATTCCAGCAGGTTCACATTCCAGCAGGTTTTCTAGCTCTTTTTAAGTAAGCTGCATCTGAAGAGCTGTGGAAATCTGTTTAACTGCTCCAATTAAGCTTAATGATTCAATTAAGATCGGTCCAGGTGCAGGAATGAATTCAGGACTATGGCCCACTGCTGCTGAATTTGGGAGCTGCTGCTCCAGGTGATTTAGAGATAAGAGCCCGTCCCTTCTCAGCACTGATTATGTATATCTGCATATTCGGGAGGCTAAACTTTAGTGACCCCCCCACCTCTGTCCTACTAGCTTAACCCCCCCCACTCCTAAGCACCTCATCACAACTTTTCCAGGACGAGTCTCTGCAGTATTTGAGGTAAAGAAAACAGATATACAGGAGGAAGCCAGTACTGAGCTACTCCAGTAGTATTTTTTTCGAATCCTCTCCGATGCCAAAACATAGCAACAGCCAGCACCTCCGATTCTTTCGCTGAGAAGCAGCAGGTTCCATGTAATAATCAAGGTTCTGGTGGCAGCAAAACTCTGCCATGGAGTTGGTTGGAAGGGCTGTCGGTGGAGCAACCACATTCCAGAGCTACACCACCCAACTTGCAGCCCTTCCTATCTAATCCATTACAGAACTTTACTATAGCCAGCACCTTGCTCAACTGGTACTGTACATCGCCAGAGCAGTCCTGGCTGTCCTGAAGCACTGCAGTGGAATGTGTTAGGAGGGCCACATGTTGCTCCCTTTGGACAGTCAAAGAGGACAGCTGAGGAGTCAAACGAGACAGATTCATCCACACAATTACTTTGTCTTTATATATTACTAGAAAACAATTACCTTTCAAAAAATGGTTCACAAAACAAAAATGGCTTTAAGCAAACACCAGCAACATTTTGGAGGAGAGGACACATATTAACGCTTTGTGAAAGTTAGCAAGGTCAACCAAATAAAAATAATCAACCAAATAAACTCTTATATAGATATTAGTATTTTAAATCATATTTCTTATTACCTTATAATAAAAATACACTCTGTATTTTGTACAAACTAAAGACTGGCTCAATACATGTAAACCTTCACAGCCAACTGAATAAAAACTGAGCCCAGCAGCCAGCTGTGCCAGCTGATCACTGTCCCCATGTGAAACCACGTTACACTTACTGTACCAGTTTGCAGAGTTTGATCTCTTTATGAACGCAAGAAAGAAAACTTTTTTAAAATAATCTAGTGAACTCCCAAACAATTGCTAATAATTGAAATACACTCAAAACTAATCAAAAATTACTTGCTAATCAAAATCAGTAATTAAACTAAACCTTCAATTAAGCATCTAAACATAACTATACAAACTAGACGACCCCAGAAGCAGAGCTGAAATTTCCCGCTTGAGTGCACAATGAATTAGATAGGAATTGCAGTGCGTAGTGTGCACCACTAGGCGGAGACCAATTGCACTTGACATCAAGTAGTACCGCACAAGGGATACTGTCAATACAATGAACGTCAGATTGAACTATCCCTACGACTTACTGTACACTCTGATGTCTTCAGTATAAAACACTTCTGTTTATATACTGTGATATATATATAGCAGGCAGTCAGAAAAAAAAAACTAGGCAGTTTTGATATAGACTGCAGAACATAACACATTTAAGAACACAAAAAAGTTAATTAAAATCAAACAATAGTAATAAACCCAAAAGAAGATACAACAAATGTAGGTTAAAATCAATGCATAGTATAACACCACAGCGAGCGTTTTCACAGGGATTTCTAACGGTTTACATTTTTGTCCTTAGGTAGTGGATACTGTTATAGGATAAGGATACAGCGCCCCCTGCTGGAGGATCAGAGAACTTCCCATCCTCCGGCAATAGCTGGACAAGAGACACAGGCAGCCTGAACAGTACCACACAGGACCTCAATCTAACACAGCAGAAGCGACAGCCTACGATCAGGGCAAGCAGCAGAGGTGAGGTTCTCACAAGCAGCTGACGTTTTCCTTTCAGTTTGGGGTTTCCGTCTGGTTTCAGTTTGCCGACTCACAAACCCCACACAGTGAATTCAAATAACCACTGCAGCATGTCAAGAAGAAAACCACTGGGGGAATTCTCTTATATATTGACGGGACCACACTACACCCTGGATCTCTGCAGCTCACAAAAAATGGAACTAAAACACCTCCTTTTCCAGGACCCCTCTCCTCAGTCTGTCCTGTGCGGCGGGGGCTCCAATCCTGGTCCTGGAGGCTGACACACCTCCGCTGGGCTCTCACTGCAGCCCTGCTTCATCACCTAACTGAAGCCTTAACTGAACCAATGAGTTACTCAATGAAATATTTTCACGTTATTTTATTAATCAAAAGTGTGGGATTTTATGACACTTGTGACACGCAGTAGTTAAAAGACAGCTGTCTCCTGCATGTTTAAGATCTGAAAACAGTCAAAGTTTAAATGAACCTGTTATTAAGTCAGTTAAGGGTTCAATTCAAGCAGAGCCCAGCTGGTGTGTGTGGGCCCCCAAGCTATACAGCACCGTAAAACTGTCAAGACACTTCAAGGAGTAACATACTAATAAATCAATCCATGATTTTTCAAGCTTCGTCCCACAGTGTGTTTCCAGGTGAAAGGTTACCAAGCACAGCCCAAGCCAATCAGCTGAAAGACTGAAAAGCAGAACCCAGTCAGAACTCTGGCTCACAGTGTTCATGAGGCTGGCACAGCACTGCCCAGCTCTGCAGGCCTTTTCACATTACAGACAACACGCTGTTGGCGATGCCCAGCGCAGAGAGTATCACACAGCATACCCGTTTCCACCTGTACAAACTCCCAGTCACCCCATATACTCCCTCTTTGCCACAGGGCTGCTCAACACAACTATCTTCTGTTACATCTGCAATAATTAACAACACTCTTCGATTAAAAAAAAACAGGTCACAGTCGTACCAAACTCCAGCTCACGGAATGTGTCCCAGTCCGGTTCCTCTGGAACATGGTCCCTCTCCCTTCGCCATGCCTGTCACTCCACTTTACAGCACTTTACCCCTGAGCAGATACTCTGAGACATTTATTTTTAATCCCCTAACAAAAGAACAGCAAGTTTCTCTACAATACAATTTCTCCTCAGTGCATGGCTTTCGCCCTGGGATGTGAGGCAGTGTATTGGTCTTGACATGAGAACTAGAATGGTCCCCTCTGTCTCCCACAGCAACTTCTTGTCACCACAAAGTCATAGGTCAGTGGACGTGTGCCTGTGAGCGTGCACGTGTGAAAAGAGGCTAGCTGCAAGCAATCCATTGTGTTGACAAGGGGAACACTCTCAGCTGCCTGTGTCCAGAACCGTGAGTGCCAAATTTCTGGCAGAAAAAGAGGATAGCGGGAAAAGGGCAAAAAATAAGAAAAGTAGGCTACAGTCTTCTCTTTTGTTTTGCAGAGAAAAAGATCAATTCCTTCCAGAACCTTGTCATTAACACAAGCAGAGTTGGTGAGAGAGGAGTGGAGGTTGAGGAGAGAATCAGACTCCTGTCCCAGTCAAGGAGAAGGAGGAAGTTCTTAAACACCCGGCACAGCCCTTCACAAAGCCCCTCAGTGCCCGAGCTTCACCCTGATCGTCCCCACAATAAAGGCAGACTCAGCTGGCCAACAGGCCCACTTCTGAATCGTATATTTTCTTGGCTTTGAATACAGACAGCTGCATAAAAACACGACCTTCCAGGACCTCTTCATCTTCTGTGAACATGAACAAGGAGAACATTCTGGGGAACCCCACAGGCACCGCACCAACACCCTCCTGTCTCGGCTCTGTGTGGGCGGCGGGGGTTGGAGGGGGGCGTGCCAGTTTGGGGTCGGGGGGGCAGGTGGGAGGGTTTCTGGTGCTGACTGCATGACGGGAGCTCTTATCGCGCTCCAGGGACAGGAGCCATGGACAGGCTGTCCTCTTCCTCGATGGTGTCCAGCTCCTCAGTGCGCACGGCCTGGGTGATGAGGTTGAGCTCCTCGCACAAGGTCTCGTAACGGTACGCCACGCGGATGTCCGGCACATTGGTGCGGCGGATGTCATTCCCCTCGGGGCCCTCCTTGACATAACTGGGGCCCAGCCAGTAGCTCTTCACCTGCAGGATAGTAGGAGGACACAGGAATTACACAGAGATGGGGGTGGCTCCTTCAATAGACCCTAATGCTCTGGCCAGCTGGCTGTCCTCTCTGTATGATGAATTTCTCCCAACAGTCAGCCCGATCAATTATCAAAGCATGGGAGCTGAAAAGGGCACAGACACTCCTCCATTCACGCCAGCTACACACTCGATCAGATCTGTTTTTATCCCAGTCTCAAGACGCAACAGCAGAGCGCCAGTCTGCAAAGACGAAGTGTGCACCCTCCCACACTCACTCATGTGCTACCAGACAGCATCCACAGGACAGTGAGGGAGGAACACAAATAAAGCACAGGCTGAGAGAAGAGTGTCTTCCCCCAGACTTAAATTTAGCCCCCCAAGGACCACAGAGTCTATAAAAAAAAGTTAAATTTGTACAGAGCCAGCAAAAATCCCAAACCTCTCTGAATACCAAAACATGGGAAACCGGATGCAGCACTTGCCTGTAAAGATCCACCTGGTTCATCAGGATGTGGCAGAGTGACAGGTGTCAGCAGGCTGATGTGCAACGTGGTGCCTGAGTCTTTATTACAGTGTTGACAGCGGCCAGCGCACATCCACACTCCTCACACACACACAGGGCGTGGAACAGACCCTCACCTTGTGCGAGAACCCGCTCATCAGCACGCTGTTCCTGGACAGCTCACACATGTCGCAGGAGCTCAGCTTCCACACCTGGGCCGCAATACTGTACTCCTCCATGAGAGGCTCCTGCACACAGAGACAGGCAGGCAGACAGAACAACCGTTACAAACCAGAGGAGGCCACTGGGTCCTAGTCCTTTTGGTAGTCACTAGCTCACTGCTCCCAGGATCTCGTCCAGCCGTTTCTTGAAAGAACTCAGGATATCGGCTTCAGCGACACGGCTGGGAAATTTGTTCCACCCTCCCACCAGTCTAGTGACTCCTGTCTTGGTTTAAAATCCACTTCCACTTGTGGAAGACAGGTCAGTCACAGCCCTGTGGGTCCTTCTCTTGACCACCTGCACACCTCTGCCATTCCAGTGCATGTTAAAGATCTTCCGACTAGTTTACAGCAGTCGGAGTAGAACACTTGTGCGTACAGAGCTGTCTTACTCTGTTTGTAAGTGTGGGATCCAGGTTTGAAATAGATGGGGAGAGGGCTGACCTTGGTGAAGTGGAACTGCAAGGGGTCATCAGTCGACAGGGAGACTATCAGTCCGCGGGACAGGTACTCTGGGAGTGGGTTTCTATGGTAACTGAGGAACAGGCTGTTGTTGCTAAGCGGCGACATGGCGATTCCAATCTGGGCCAGGTAGTAGAGATACTGCAGCACAGGTGCCTGGAAGAGCAGAGAAACAGCCTGAAACTGCGAAAACAACTATATCCTGCCCCACCTCAACCACACCCCCCGACATTCAGCGAACAAAGTGTTATTAAGTACTTCCTGTTAAAAAAACTATTTCTGACAACTTCAGTAGGGACATTGCAGGAGTACACCTGCTAGTCCCGTATCAGAAGCGCCCTTGAAGCAGGCAGGACGGGGCCCACCTTGCGCAGGAGCAGCCCATGAGAGATGTTCTCTGACAGCATGAAGCCCGACACCAGGTGGTGGATTGGCCCTGCCTCCCCACAGTGGGGGCGGAGCACAAATGTTTGAAAGCCCCGCCTCCTGCAAAAGAGACCCAGGAAAGGAAAGGCGCATCAAAACACGAGATCAACTTGCTGCTTTCAAACCTCTCAGAGGAACTGGAGGCAAACATATCCTGGCATGAAAGGGCTTGGAGTATGAAAGGAAGTTCTCAAAACAACACTCTAACTAATTTGGAACTTCCTGCAAATGCACAGTACGCTTGAATAAAATTAATGTAATCCTGTGGCCTCCTGGATTCTCTGAACTTCAAAAAAAATGCATTAGGACACCTTGCTATACCTACTACCCTGCTATCCCCTTGACCGTCCCAAGGCAGCACAGTGACAAAGAGGGGCTGTACCTGCGCAGGTGGTTCAGCACAGCCATATTGGCATACATGTAGTAGAGGTAGTAGGAGTAGGGGGGGTTGTCCTCCTCTGTCCAGTTGGCTGGCAGTGGGCTGTCCAGGTTGAAGATGTGATGCTCTGGTTTGGATTCGTCGTCCACACTGTCAAATCCCACCACCTAGGGGCACACAAATGTCAGTAATCAAACCAAGCTGAACTAGACAGAAAATAGCCACTCCAGCTGTTCTAACAGGAACAATATCCTTAACTGCAGGAGCTCCTAAAACATGAACTTCTAACTGTACCTCAAATCAGTTCAATTTTAGAGCCTTCAAATTGCTGAACCACAGTGATGGAAACAGTGGTATAGGAAAAATACATTTAAAGTTGTACACTGATACTGTGAGCACAGTGACCGTTGTATGATAACCTATTCTCCTGTTTAAACTCTTATACTTTTATTTAAAGCGCAATTATAAGCATAGCTTCAACATTTAACTGTTCTTCTAACCCTAACCCTACTCTGGCCTGAAATCTACGATCATTTCAAACCCATTTTCAAAGCCCTTTTCAGCTGTTTGAAAACTTGTCCAAAGAAGTTACAATTGTGAAAAATATACATTTCCATGAAGAGTGTTCCTTGGTTTTGATCATTTTAGACTCATATTATAAAGTTTGAGAACCATTTTCAAATCTCATGATTTGAGGGCTTCAGAGACAGATAACAGATTTGCTCTTTTGAGACCCCGCCTAGGGTTAGGGTTAACATTCCCACACCACTTAGACATTTTTTACAATCGGTGCTGGATTTGGGGGCACAAGTGAACATTAGGACAACTTATAATTTGCCCCTATCTTCAACTTGTTTTTTCCAACACTTTTTCCTGCTCATTTTGTATAAGGTACTGTACAGTAATTGTATCCAATAAATGAGCCAGATCAAAACCTTTAAGATAACAAGATCTACTGTGCAAACTCTCTTAATTTGATCATTTAAAGCGCAATTAGAAGCATAGGTGCAGTCAACATTTAACGGTTCTTCTAACCCTAACCCTACTTTGGCCGAAAATGCATGATCATTTAAAAAACATTTTCAGTGGTGTGCGGGACCCTGGACAGTGTGAAGGCCGTGGTGTGCGGGACCCTGGACAGTGTGAAGGGGTGGGTGTTTAGAACCCTGGACAGTGTGAAGGGCTGGGTGCCCAGGATCCCAGGCAGCTCCAGCTTACTCACATGTTGCAGGAAGAGGTGCAGCTCAGGGTGGCTGCGCGGGTTCACCGTGACCTCGAATAGTGGCAGGAAGATGTTTTCCAGCATCTCCTGGAAGTTGGCTAGCTGCTTCTTGGTGTGGTAGACATCGCTGAGGATAGATCAAACAGGGAGCAAAGGTCAGTCAGAGAGACTGAGAGTGCAAAAGGGGAACTAGATACTGCCCCACAAAACCGATGCCACTGAACAGCATACACAACAGACATGCCCAAAATATACAGCGAACATACAGTATGAGATGGTCAGAGAAGAACCATGGGTATGGCTATATTTTCTTCATACTAAAAGAACAGATATAGTGATATGCAGACAGACTTCTCCTATCAAGAAACAGTATTTCCAGCAGGATGGTGCATTTGCACAAAACAACAGTTTATCTGTTCAAATTGGGATTTGTTTCTCTCATATATTGAGCTGTATCCTGCAGGCTGCTGCAGGTCTTTGTGAAACTGGGTCCTAGTAGGTTGGTTCATCCCAGCTGAGTTTGTCAAACACACACCAGATCACACGACTCCTGACCTGGAAGCACAATGGACTCATGGACTCACAAGAGCCGAGGAACCTGCACCAGCCAGCGCACGTTGTCAGAGTAGACCTTGTACTTCACCGCCCACTGCGCCAGCTTGTCCCACTCGTCCCGGGAGCGGCCGTAGATGGACAGACGCAGCTCCACATTCTGGTATTTACTCTCCTCGAGGTCAGCCATCACCTCCTGGGCAGCAGAGCAGCCAAGAGAAGGGGAGAGAAAGGAAGGGGGAGCAGAACGGAGAGATGGAGAGAGAGAAATCAGCATACAAACAAAACAGACCTATCCACTGTTCCCACAGTATTTTGACATACAGTTGCGAGAAAAAGTTTGTGAATCCTTAGGAATTATACGGATTTCTGCATGAGTGGCTCCAAAATGTGATCTGTACAAAGCTCCTGCTATGTCTGAGCCTGCTCCATTTTGTGCTTCTTGACTATAAAAAACAGGTTCTTGGCACCCTAAATGTCATCAGGCAAGCAGGGCCATACCTTGATGATGTGCCCAAAGTACTTCCCCTCTACATGGTTGTCTGTCTTGATGAAGATCTCCCGCAGGATGGACTCCCCAATGGGGTTGTACTTGGCGTTGAACTTGTCAAAACGGTGGAAGGTGTTTCGGTCCTGAGAGACAGTGGGGTAAAAAAAAAAAAACAGAAAATAATTCAATGTATTTCACCGGCAAACAAAAAAGGAAAGAATGATGCAGATTTCATGTGGCAGATGGGTAACAGAGTGGCTCCCTCCAGCTCACAATGTCTGTAGAAGTGTGAAGTGTTGCAGAACACAGAAGGACACACAAGACAAAATGCACTACTGGCGTTTAAACAAACGTGGAAGCAGAGAAGTAAGTAACAATACTGATTCCACACAAGAAATTAACCCCTGACCCCCTGACATCCTTACAGCGTGCATGTCCAGGGTGTCCACACTGAGGTCGTAGGCCGTGAGGTTCATGGTCTCGAAGACCTCCATGAGCGTCTGGCCCTTGCCCTTCTCCACGTGCACGATCTCGCCCGGGTACTTCTTCATGGCCCTCTTGATGAAGCGCAGCAGGTGCTTCTGGTTCATGCAGGATGAGGCGTGGATGTGTGTGTCCACCTGCAAGGGGGGCAAGAGAGCTGTGGGGGTGAGTGCTGCACAGCAGGGGCAAGGAAAAACCAATACCTTCCTATACACAGCAGTGCCCTGTGGTGCAGGAAGAGTCTGGACAGCGGGACACTTACCACTTCCTTAACTGGCACTAACCTACCTGGTTAAGAAACTCACAGAATGTAGAACATGTGAACACCACGGTGCGCATGATGCAGAAGAGACAAACTTGGTGCTAGAGATCCCCAAGTGGTTTTAATACCCAACCCAGCTCTCAGATAATTCGTTGAATCAGCCATTATCTATCTTATCACCATCAATACCACCAGGACCTGTAGCTCCTGCCTGTAGGTACCTACTGTAAGACCAGAAACCAGAAACCGAGACCCTGCTGGACAGCAGACAGGCGCTCACCTTACGGATGTTGTAGAAGTCGCGGTGCGGGACTTTCTTCTGTGCGGCCAGCTCCTTCATCTCATTGAGCAGGATGTGCATCTGGAACTTGGAGCTGAGGTACTGCAGCCGTCGGTAGCAGAACGACTTCCTGTAGACGGCAGTAGTAGACAGGAAGCAAGCATAGACTCAAACATTCCTCCCCAGAGAAAAGCTATTCTACCCCGCAACATTCCCAGTTACAAACAGGCCTGCCAGCACTGATTAGGTCAAATTATTGCAAAAAGGTTTCCTTGAAGATTTCCAGCTAATTCTGCAGATACTAGAAATGCCTGCAAATTCTACTGGGTGGCTTCAACTCTTTGGCCATAGGGACAACACAGGAGTGGGACAGCTCTGTGCCGCCCCTCCCCATGTCCCTCTCTCCTCCAGAGCCTCCAGTCACACTCACACGGGGCCATTGATGATGAGGGCCATCAGGAAGTTCATGTCAGCGATGTACTCCTGCAGGTCTGGGTAGGGCAGATCCAGTTCTGTGTTCCTAGGAACAGAGAGACAGCTTTACCCACAGGGCCCAGGGCTCAGCCTGCCCAAGCGAGCCACCTGATTCCTCCTCCATGCACAGACATAAACCAGAGTAAAACATCAGGGCTTTAGATCTCACCTATCCATTGCTGATAAAATTAAACACTTAAAGTTACTAATAACTTTCTTGTGAAATGCTTGTCATTATTTTTAAAGCAAAAACATTAAAGCAGAATTTAAGTTATCTATAAAGTTTAAGAGCTGAATTTGAAATTAGTGTAAAATAGTTTAGGAGCTGAAATCAATGCAACAGTTGTGACTAATCAGGTCAATTAAGCGCACAGTTAACTGGGACTGGGGAGTCCTGCTCCAAGTGTAGATACACACAACTCGCTATACGAACAATCCATTATCAATGTTCGCCAAACAAAGTGTGTATTTTAATTCGGGTTTTTAAATACTGTACAGTACAAAGCCACCTTTGCTACAGTGTAGGCACTTGCCTTGTGATCTAACTTACTTAGGGACTTTCATCGTTTAACATTCTCCTTACTTTTAAAATATGTTACTGGGGCTTCAGTGTTACAACAGTAAAAGAAGAAGAAAGCATTGGGCTGTAAAACCTAAAGCAATAGAAATGACTGAAAAAGGCGAGCAGTTGAAAGACATCCGCATTGCCTTGAGCTTAGCTGTGCAAGTTCAACAGTTTACAACTGCTATATATTTTGTCTTAACTACTGTAGTAAGTTAAATGTGCACAATAGTGCTCTTGTTGTGACAATTCAGAACTCTTAATGTACTTGAGTAGAACTGGGAAATTATATAAAACTAGGAAACAAGTCGCAAGCTGCAAAGTACTGGGAATTTCATTTTCCTTATATGAAATTTAACATTAACGTTTTTGAGGAACACATACAGTGGGGATAGAAAGTCACCACCCCCTTTCAAAATGTTCACCTTTTGTTGCCCTAAAGTCCAGAAAGATGACAAAATCAGACCTTTTCCAGTTTTTTTCCCATATTTACAAATTGTACCTTGCAACATTCAAGCGAAAAAAAAGTAACGTTTCTGGAAAAAAAATTAAAAATAAAAAAGTTGAATAACTGGGTTGAATAAGAGAACACCCCCCTGAGTTAATACTTGGTGGGAGCACCTTTTGCTTGAATTACAGCCTTGAGTCTATTTGGACACCTACAGAATTGTTCAAGCTGAGTCAAACTGCGTGGTGATGTTGATGGACTGCCCTCTTCAAATCATTCCAAAGATTTTCGATGGGATTTAGGTCGGGGCTCTGACTAGGCCACTCAAGGACATTCACCTTCCTGTCATTCAGCCACTGCTTGACGGTGTGCTTTGGGTCACTGTCATGTTGAAAGGTGAACCATTTTCCCATTTTCAACTTCCTGGCTGAGGGCTGCAGGTTTTCTTCAAGAATTTGCCTGTATTTTGCATCATCCATCTTCCCTTCTATCCTGACAAGTGCCCCAGTCCCAGATTAAGAGAAACACCCCCATAACAGAACACTGCCATCACTGTGCTTTACTGTAGGAATGGTGTCTTTGGATGGTAAGATGCATTGGGTTTTCCTCAGAAATACCATTTTGCATTCCGGCCAAAAAGTTTGACTTTGGTCTCATCTGACCACAGCACCTTTTGCCACTTGGCCACAAAATCTTTAAGGTGCTTTTTAGCAAAACATAAACAAGACTTGATGTGGCTTCTTTTAAGGAGTGGCTTTTTTCTTGCCAAACTCCCATACAGGCTAGATTTTTGGAGCACTTGTGATATTGTTGTCACATTCACACAATGACCAGTCTTTGCCATACAAGCCTGTAGCTCATTCAAAGTTGCCATCGGCCTCTTGGTAGCCTCTCTGATCAGTCTCCTTCTTGCTCGGTCATCCAGTTTGGAGGGATGGCCTGATCTAGGCAAGGTCTGGGTGGTGCCATTTGTCTTCCACTTCTTAATGATGGTCTTGACTGTGCTTCATGGGATACTTATAGCCTTTGAAATCTTTTTATACCCATCTCCTGACTTGTACCTTCCCACAACTTTATCTCAAACTTCGTTTGAAAGCACCTTTCCGCCCATAGTGGATTCGTTGCTTTGAAATGCTCTTCCAAGCAGTGGAATCCTCTAGAAACAGCTGCTTTTATACTGAACTAATCAAAACCACCACAACTGATCACAGGTGGGAGCCAATTAAGTTGTTGTGTGATCTGTAAGGTGATTGGTTATACCTTAGCAAGTTCACAAATGTAATTGTAAGGTGGGGGGGGGGGTTGTTCACTCAACCAAATAAGGTGTTTTAGTTACTTAATTAACTTAGTTACTTAGTTGTTATATTAATTAATTTTCAGAATGTTTTAGAATTCTTTCACTTTGCTAATATGGGTTACTGTGTGTTAACAAAAATGGAACAAGCCTAATTTAATTCGTTTTTATTTTCAGAGCTACAACAAAAGGTACAAATTGTGAAAGGGGATGGTGACTTTCTATACCCACTGTAACCTGCATAAACCAGGGGATGGCTGTACCCATTTGAAAAACGGGATCCCCATCAATGAAGTTCAACTGCTTCTCAGCCCACAATGGAACTGTGAAACAAGGAAGAAATCGAAATCAAGAGACCCTTTTCTACACAGAGATTTGTGGGTGTCTGGATCAAGCCAAGAAACAGACTCCTTCTTAAAAGTGTCAGACTGCTGAACTGATCAGCTTCTAGAATGCTACATGGGCTCCTGCAGCCTTTACTGGTGCTCTTGAGAGATGCTCACTTGTCCATGGGGCTGGTTTTGGTGTAGATGTGGACCACCCCATTCACCATCTGGCAGCTAAAGCCCATGTCGGGGGGCATGTTTCGGATGTCCAGGTTCTCATAGGGGTGAGTGTCTGACACAGGAGGGTGCACAGGGGCATCTGTGGGAGGAGAAGACCAAAGCCAAGGCTGGTGAGAAAGAGTGTTGGCAACCTGCCTTTCATGTGAAAAAGGATGTTAAGAAGAATGCAACAGCTTGCCCAGAACAGAGAAACGGGGTTAAAAATACTCCCCCCCTCCCCCCCAATCTCCAAACCTCCACTCCAAGCCAGTGAAATTACCCCATTTTCCAGGCAAAACAGCCTGATTTCTGCCTGAAGCTCAGCATCAGGTCCTGCCCTTTTCCATTCTGTGCTGGGACTATCTCCCAGTCACAGCTGCTCATTTTAATATGACATGGCTCAAGTGTATTTTCACAGAGCCTCCGCACATTGTGCACACGAGAGGAAAAAGAGTCTGTGAGATACATTAGTATTTCTGCATGAAAAAAAGGTTCTACATGAAAAAAAATATCTATCCTTGTGCACAGTGTAGAGTATTAACATAAATGTAAGACAAGTACATTTATCGGTTGCACCAGCACTAACATAGTGCTTGAGACTCAGTGCTTTGTAGTCTGGCCTAACCATGACAGACTCTGTAAAACATCAATGTGTAGGAAATACTGAATATCTGCAGCCGGATGAACACAAAAATGACGTTGTAACCCTCCCCAACCTCAGGTACACAGGCGCTTGGGGACAGCGGATGACATGATCCAGACTCAAACCTGTTATCACGGAGCTCAGTCTGTGCTCAGGTGACCGTCACACCAGTTGAGACCAAGACAGAAGGCTGAAGCTCAATCAGTTAGATCACAATTGTGTACAGCGCCATCACACACAGCCCACACCAGGTCACGGGACTAGGCTGGCAAAACTGTTACCTGCTGCCACAGGGATCTCGGGGATCTCATCATAGACACGCAGGTCCAGGGGCTTCTCCCCCAGCTCCTGCAGGTATCGGGCAGTGGTCTTGCAGAAGCTCTGCATGGACAGCATGACATACTTCTCCCGGATGAACAGGGCCTTCACCACACACTTGGCCGCATCCAGCAGGTCTGTAAAGGGCACCTGCAGGGAAAGGATGGGCACACAACAGGAGCATCCTGAGTAACCCAGCACCATCCCAGCCTGAGAGAAGCCTGTAAGATCTGACAGACGGGCTGCCATGTGCCATGGAGCTAAGAGCAACACCAGCATCGCACCAGAGGCTCAGACTGCAGTGCCATCGCAGTGGAAATGGCAATGATGAGGTTAATGGCGCACAATTACATCACAATGATGAAAAGAACAGTGAGGTCATGAGTGCGGTGACATCACAATGGAGAAAAGAACAGGAAGGTTCCTGGAGTGTGGCAACATCAAAAGAGAACTGGGCAGTAACTGAGCAGAAGTAACATAATATTACAGGCTGATTCTGAATTAATTGTAGGGAAGTTAGGAGTCACAGTGCAGTCCAGTAAAGGTTTGAAATGAGCCTAGTTGTGATGAAAATGGCTATTTCTGGAGAACACTGAAGGAGACACACAAAAAGTGAATTTCCCACAGTGCCCTGAATTACAACAGAGGGTTGTATAGTGTGAGTCCAGTTTTATAGTCCTTTAAAAAATCCCTCAAGCAGGTCAGACCCCAGGACAGTCAGACTTCTACATAATGAATGAATTATTTAATACTGACCACCTTATGCTGCATACTCCATTCATTGAAGATGTACCCCAATCCAAGTTTACACTTTTTTTCTGATCCAGAAAGGTTATACACAAAATATTTTTCCCCTTCATAAAGATGGGCCCAAAATGTAAACAAGCAAAAACTCTCCAAGATATCAGCCCCGTAACAGAGGCTGAACTGCTTCTGGAGCCCCACCCACTGACAGGTGCTGCCTAAGCACATTCTCTTCCTTCTCCTTGAGCCCCCCCAAGTCCATCAGTGCAGCCCAGCACCCCTGTCCCACACAGGACCCCCTTACCCCACACTGCTCCTCCCCAGAGATGGCGACCCGCTGGTACTCCCTCTCTGCCAACAGCTCCCGCTCCTTTGTGATGTGATCAATAACCACCTCATTCTGCTCCTTCAAGTACCTGCGGAGGGAGAGCGAGGGGTGAGAGAGGCTGGGCCAAGGAGGAGGAAAGAGAGCGACAGGGGGAGAGGAGAGAGTCGCACACACAGCTGCCAGACACAGACACCAGTGTGCCAACTGGTACTCTGAGACACCCGCTCCCAATCTCCCCATTCTCTTTTCCAATGTTTTTAACACCCACTCAAGAGAACAGACAGGTGATAGAAAAATAATAAAAACAACCCAGTGAATAACAGCCAGGCACTCACTCCAGATCAGCAGCACTGTCGATTTTCATGAAGTCCTGCTTGGCTCTGAGCAGGATCTCGGGTTCGAGCCTGACAAGGCAGTGCGGCAGGCGAAGCATCGCGGCAGAGAGAAACAGAGAGGCCACACGTGCAAGGCCACACACACAGAGGCCGAGCAGAGGGAGGAGGGGGAAAGAGAGAAAATCAGCAAGTTAATCGGTGATCAAACTCCATTGTTTCTTAGGGTGAAGAGAATGAAGTCAATCCGACTTCACTCTAAAGCCAGTTGTGTGTAGAGATGCAGGCCAGACTCCTCCAGCGCTCCAGTCTGCTCCACTCCAGGTCTTACCAGATGCTGTCTCACATATAGACGCCAGTACTTGTGGGATTTCACAGCTTTCCCCGAGTCCTGACTCACACCTATTCCACTTTACTAATGGAAACCGAAAGGTGGTATAATAGGTAGGTACGCCATTGGTCTCTATTTAATTCCCTGCTTTTACCATTATTTAACTGTGATTTACTACGCTTCTCTGTTTTTACCTTGGTTTGCCACATTAGTGACCATTTTAAAGGCGGGTTTCTGCACACGCAGATGAGAATAAAAATACTGTTAATGAGCATTATTATCAATTCACTTTTCTACTTTGACAGTGCTAACTAAACTACATCATGCTATCGGTAAAACCTGAAATGGAGCAAACTGCTGCACAGCAGGGATTTAGTAGTTTCCCTGTGCTGCCCCCAACACAGACCACGGCTGGGTGTTACACCACTGTCTGCCACCTGGACCAGACACAGGGTGAGGCCCTGGAAACTATATTTGAAAGGAATGTACCCTTTACATTTGAGGCTTTATATTTTGGTAAACTGGATTTTGATCGGAGGGGAATGGATGAATATTTGTTTGGAGTCCTTATATTAGCAGAGAAGAAAGCTATAACAAAGTGGCCTCTCACAGATCTACCAACAATGAATGATTGGATTGAATAAATAAAAGAAATATATCTAATGGAAAAAATAACATTTTCACTAAAATTACAAATGAAAAAATTTGTCAAATATTGGTTTAGATGGGTTCAGTACATTAAACCTTTAAGTTCCGATTTTGTTGAGATACAGAATAACTGAAATTTAATAAGATACATTTATAAAGTCTACTCCCTTTTCATATTCATAAATGTATACATCTTCCTTCTTTTGAATGTGTATAGTTTTGTTAAAAAGTTATATAATTGTAAAAAATTAGGGGAACAGACAGGAATTTGTGCCTGCAATGTAAGGCTGAATAATGGATGTTCATATGTAAAATGGTTTGGTTTTGTTCTCTAAAAAAAAATTTTTTTTTAAAAAGACCAGACACAGAGACAGTGGGGAGGAGGCCCTGTTTCTCAGACCGAGAAGTGAGTTACATTCCCAAACTGAGAGACAGGAAAATAAAGAAAAACAGACATCAGAAAGAAGAGGAACAGAGAAACACAGGACACTGCTACAGCCTTGAGGCCACTGCTGGTCCAGTACAAACACGGTGGCAGTTTCTTCAGATGGACAAAGAGAATTTATATTCTCATCAAATTTGGCACAACTTTAAGGGAATGCATATATTCATTTACTGACTTAAATTTCAGACGTGACCACTGCTTTTCAGAGAAGTGAACTCATGAATGATGAATGAACAAAAACTCTCATTCATCCCTCTTCCTTCAGCCCAGAGCACAGGGATCTATGCTCAACGCAACTGCACAGCTCCTGTGTTAGCAGGCACTTGCATGCTGCCCCAGTAACGCTCTCCCAGTACTCCCTCAGCAGGTCCAGGCCACCTCTGCACACAGCGCCCAGCTTCGCCTTGAGCTTCTGCAGGTGCGAAGGCTGGGAGTTTAACTCACAGTGATCCCCTTAGTCATGGACTGCAGCCGCCCATAGAAACCAAAGGCCTGGGGCCGTACAGGACCAGGGCTTGAGGCTACAGATAACGCATGGGAGACAGAGGTTAGCTGACATGTCCATTTGGACAGGATACTCGCAGGAGGTCTAACAGAAACATTCCCCCTCATATCCTGACCCAGACACTCGATAGGTACAGGCATAGGCACCCATTAAAATGAAACACCGTGGCTCTTCGGCCACAGACAAAGCAGGCTAACGATGTGATCAGGCCAGCGCACTCTACACAGGCCTTCTGTCTGGCCAGACACTGGCGACACCCCCTCCCATCTTCCCTCCGTACTTCACATCCTGACTGATCTGCCTCTCCAGCCGGTGGCGGCGCTCCTCCAGCTGCTCGATGGGACTGTCCTCCGGGAACTCATAGGGGGCGCTCCGCATCTCGCTCTCGGCCAGGCTGCGCGAGAACAGCTCCTGCAGACAGAGACCGATCAACCCGCCTGTACATTACTGGACACCAGGGACAGGTTTATAGTGCCAAACTCTACAATTCTTGCATTTTAGATACATTTCTTAAATAGAGAAATACAGAATTATGTTGCTCTGCATGCAAAATTCATTAAACTGTCAAGACGACATCCCTTGTGCATTTCTCTGCAGTAGCACTGAAGGGCAGGGCTATGGATTAAAACCCACTCTGCACTAGACAGCTCTGTCAACCCATCGCAATTAAAGGTTATGCTCCTACCATTCGGCAAGCACACAGCTACCAGCAGATTCGTAGAAAAACATCCCACTTCCTAGTAATATCTGTCATGCATGCTACAGTATGTCAGGAACGGGCTGAAATTCCATGTTTCAGGTTTACTGGTCTAGTTTACTCAGTGGCTCTGTGTCAAGCTCGTTAAGGTAACTAAGGACTGAAAACGAGAAGTACTTCTTTGGGATTGTGGGAGTCTGGAACAAGCTACCCCAACCTCGCTGTAGAAGCGAATTCCCTGGAATCCTCTTAGAAACAACTCGATAAGATCCCTGGAGTCAGTGGCTACCTGTTACGCATGAGCTAAATGGATTATCCAGCAGCCATATCGCCCTGCAACTCACAACTGGCAACCCACTGGCTAAGCAGGTGTGAGCCTGGTCAGTACCTGGATGGGAGACTTCCTGGGAAAAAACTAAGGTTGCTGCTGGAAGAGGTGTTAGTGGGGCCAGCAGGGGGCGCTCACCCCGCGGTCCATGTGGGTCCTAATGCCCCAGTATAGTGACAGGGACACTATACTGTAAACAGGCGCCGTCCTTCGGATGAGACATAAAACCGAGGTCCTGACTCTCTGTGGTCATTAAAAATCCCAGGGCGTTTCTCGAAAAGAGTAGGGGTATAACCCCAGCGTCCTGGCCAAATTTCCCATTGGCCCTTACCAATCATGGCCTCCTAATAATCCCCATCTATGAATTGGCTACATTACTCTGCTCTCCTCCCCACTGATAGCTGATGTGTGGTGAGTGTTCTGGCGCACTATGGCTGCCGGCGCATCATTCCAGTTGAATGCTGCACATTGGTGGTGGTGGAGGGGAGTCCCCATTACCTGTAAAGCGCTTTGAGTGGAGTGTCCAGAAAAAGCGCTATATAATTATTAAGTATTATTAATAAACCCCCCTACTGTCCAGTGGGGAGGACTGAGCCGGGTTCAAGCTCCTCACCTCGGCGATCTCCTTGTACTTCCCATCCATGGAGGTGCGCAGGTCGATGGGGAAGTGCTTCAGCGAGATGGGGGTCCCAGGAAGGGAGCGCTGGGAGGTGAGGGGGTACGAGCCGGAGACGCCTCGCAGATCTGGGGGAGCAGAAGGGAGATAACAAGCACGCAGGAGTCAGTGTCTTTAAAGCACCCATCACCTTTCAGGTGCACAGCCGTCTGAGCCAGGCCTGCTCTCCACCAGCAGGTCTTGTGTTTCAGTCCACATCAGGACACTTCAATCCTCTTCCCGTTTTTTTAGATATTTCTGCATATCACACGGAGGTCAATTTACTCTACGGTACTTTTCCGATTCATCGGTATAAACTGCACCACAGCCAGCTGGAGTTTGAAACCTGAACCTGCTGTGAAATACAAATTCTTACCAGCCTGACTACTTTCCCCCGATGCCAAGCTTTTGTGTTCGTTCTTGTGTCTCAACCTAGGCCCTATTAATTTGAGAGATGTGGCATCCAGACGCCAAGTGCCAGCTGCGCACGCCAGCCTTCCGCCCACAGTTCCTTCTCGTCCTGCCCGTTCAGAATGAATGGAGCGTGCCTGCCTCTGTGCCACACAGACACACAGGACAGGGAGAGGGAGAGAGAAGGCAAAAACTCCAGCACAGCGAATGAAGTCCCTTAATAATGGAGCTCCCCTGCAGACCTCATTCAGCTCTTACACATTCCACAGTTTTGGGCCTTCCCAAGATAAGACCAGCTTTTTTCTTCTGCTACAGTTTCTGCATAAAATCAGCCAGTGCTCACAATGTGGTTCAGAAATTTCTCCAACAGAAAGGAGAAAACCAAACTGCCTTCGGTCAGGTGGACAGGTAATTAACCAAGACACATTCAGCTACCGATCTTTTGCTGAGTCACTGCATCGGTTGCCATGACGATCTCGCCTCTTTATCTTTTTGTGAGAACGAGTTCTTTTCCATTTCAGCCTCTGCTGCCCACGCAGCCAGGCCCCCTGGAGAGGCGGCAAGGAGCTCTGGGGGGTGAGGATGTCACTCACCCCTCAGAGCCCCGGGCAGCTGTGCTGCAGATCCGTAGCCTGGATTCAGAGCAGCCCAGTCCGAGACCCAGATCTTGCTGCTGTGCACACTGGTGTGGAATCCACCTCCTCGGACAAGCAGCTGCAAATCCACCTCACCTTGTTTTGAAGCCCTGTGCAAAGCGGCACTGCTACTCTCCATTGAAAGGCATGCTATTGTGCAAGCTGAGCACGCATCCTTGAAACAGCAGAGCTCTATCTTCCAAGGTGCGAGCCGGTCCAGGCGGCGGTGTTAATACTGCATGTTCCAGTCCTGACCCAACCAAGCCACTAGTCCAGACAGAACACTCACAGGGGCAGCCAGGGCCACCTCGAGTTGGGGTTCAATCCGCCCCATCCACTCAGGACTGGACGCCCTGCCAGCCGAGGCATACAGGGGGACATTACTGCTCCTTCACTCAGCCCTCCTGCTGCTTCTGAATTATTCAGGACACTGATAAAACTTTCATAAACACGCACAGCCCTACTCCCATGCTCCAGCCATGGCTTCTGTCATGAAATATAAGAAGCATCCTGATTCACATCTCAAAGCCACTCTGTCGTTACAGCAGTAACTCTAGCAATGCACGCAGCGACCAGCAGGTGGCCTGTGTGCGCGGCAGTCAGCAGCTCTCATCACAGCTGAGGGAACTCGCCAAGCGCTGAGCACCAGCCCGGGAAAACGGACGAAGCTGCATCCAGCTGACCGCCACACACAAGGAAACACTGGTTTTGTTCAAACAGCAGCTTCACGGTTCCTCCATATGCCTGTCCCTGGTTCTACCACAATTCCAATGCATCCCACTACACCAGCTACAGCAAGCTACGATGGTTTTAAGGGGTAGATTAGAAGGACTGGACAACCAGACAAACAGCTCAGAAGAGACCCAGAGCTCCAAGAACACTCTCGTTAAACTAAATCCCAGTCTCCCAGAGTGAGCTAGTCACTGGCTAAGCAGATATCATGCAAACAGACGAGCTGGAGCTTCAGAAATTGTCCTGGGTGCACTGAAACGGACAAATCCAGAATAATGTCACGAGGCCAGCGAGCTTGTGCAGTGGCCAGAAGTGTGGAATTAATGTCTTTAAAGGCTTCTCGTTAAATGCCACGTCCTTGTGTGATTATATGCAGCTGGACTAATAAATAAGGTTAGAGTGACTGCATCTTCACCTGAGCACTCAGCTCCGTGTTGCACAGCGCAGTGGCACAGATGATCACTTAGTGGCACTTAAGTGGCTCAGAGGCTGGTTTGTTCTCAACATGTCGCACGGTCTCGCCCGCCCTGCAGCCCGAGACCAGTCATCTAACCAGAAACACTCCCTGGCCATCCTTTCACAGTCACGTCTGCTCCCAAATCAAGAGGGAGATGGAGGGAAAAGAGACGAAAGTGTCCCCCACCCACTAGAAACTTGGCAACAACACAAACGCTGCCATCACTCGTAAAACAAAATGCAGGTGAGAAGCAAAAGGAAGAGATTTTGTGTCGCGCCCCTGCGGCTGGCAGCACGACAGTGACCTCAGAGCCACACACCTGCCAGCACGCCCCCCGCGTGAAGGGCGAGCTGCTCCAGACGCCACCGAGTCCCGTTTTTCCAGTGGAGAAGGCGAACCGCCCTGAATCTACTGCGTCCCACCCCACAAGACACACACATCAGCCCTGTGCAGGGGGCCGGGCCACGGCGGGCGCTGCTGACTTGTGTGCTCGGCCTCGTGTCCCGCGAAGCCACAGGAAGAGCTATCAGGTGGGGATGAGCGAGGCGCTTCCCTCGCCAGCTCGGAGCAGGAAGCTGGTTTACACAGCGCCAGGCATTAAGTGGCTGCGTGCGCCATAGACACTCGGGAGGCAGGACGTGCCGAAAGTGGAAAGGGCAGATCGATTAGTGCTTCTGAGTGTAATTAATCCTGGCAGACAGGCTCCAGAGAGCGCTTTATTACTCATCTGCCCAGCTCAGGTGACTGTGGGTAAATATGGGAAAGACTCAGCAAGACAAGGAGCCTTTCTGAGGTCATTTACAGAGGCTTTAATGAGAAGAGATGGGGTGGTAAGAGGCTTTGTGAACACGGTCTGTTTTCCTAGTTGCCAGGATATCGCAGGCTGCAGACGTGTGCTGCACACCGGGGGCCCTGTCCCCTGCCAGCTGTGACCAGGACGTCCTCAGGCGCTGTGGCACCACTGGCACAGCATCGCTACAACTGGCAGTTCTGAAAGGGGTGGAAAATGAAAAAGACAAAACAATAATGTGTAACAAAGTGTATGGCACCAAACTGATGGATGTAAGCTATGGGGGTGGGAGGGTTTGGGTTACTACAGAGTGCTGCACTGGAGTCATCTAGCCTCTGGAGTCCTAACAGGAAAGAAGTGGTTTCAGATCCTGGGTGGGAGATGGGACACAGCTGTTGAGCAAGGAACTTCACTCAGATGCTTCCAAAGATGTAAACAACGCCCGGGTTCAAGGCTCGCTCACCCATCTGCACCCACATCAGCAAGTCCGTGCTGGTCCAGTTCCCTGGACTGCAGGTGCGCAAGCCCACCTCCAGACTTCTTCGGTGTTTTCAGGCAGTGCTGCACAGTGAGGAAGCTCTCCTCTGGTCTCGCCTGGCTGAGCAACTCTGGCAGCTCCTGTCCGCCAGCTGTCAGGCGCGTTTTTCCCTTCAATCTCGCCAGTGTGCCCCCTTGCTGCTCGGGCGACAGAGTCAGACAGCAGCTCCAGGGCCTGGACCTCAGAGAGCAACAACACAGCACTCTGCACTAACAGCCAGGGCAGCCTTGAGTGTCAACCAGCATCGCCTGTTACGTTTCGCATCAGCTGCTGTTCTGACTGACTGTCATACACATAGCCTTGTGCATAAATGCAAAGAAACAGCAAAAGGATAGAGAGCAAGAGAGGACATCACAAAAACAAAGGACAGCCTGATTTTTCTCAGCCTTCTAACTAAAAACGTGCACTCCCTTTAATTTACCTCATAGTACTTCTGGGTTATGGGACAGAGCACAGAATTCATTCCTCGCTGTGTATTGTGGTTTCCAATGCTATACCCTGTTTGTACAATGGTGTACCACAAGTCTTACAAGGGTTGGAAAAAAACCCACAGCTCCAGGGTGGGAGACAGACCCCCCTCCCCCCACTACCGTCCTGCGCACAGCAGACTATGACAGGAGACAGGAGGGAACGGCTGTCTCCTCTCCAACCTGCTGGAAACAGATGTCTGGGACCAGCCAGGCCTGAAGGATATAGAGTAGAAGATCACGGCACCAGCAAAAGAGAATCCAGCCATCACAGATTGGTGAAAGAAAACTGAAAGAAAACAGTTAAGAAGCAGAACCCAGTCTCCACATACACCTGTATTTCTGGAATGGTTGAAGGGACAAGACATGCTTTTCAGGACCCAAACCTGTCTAGTCTTAACATGCACATGGTTTAATACTTATCAAGTTCTTTGAGCAGCATATGTTTACTTTGCTCTTTGATGGATTAAAGTCCAGTGCCGACACTTCCTGTTGACAATCGACCCACACACCCTCACTCCACACAGGAATCAGGAGTGCAGGACAGAGTCCCACCACACAGTAGTCTGATCCATTTGGGGTTGTGTTCTATACCAGCACCTGCTGATGGCCATTTTCAATTTCTTGCCTTGTTTTTAAGAAATTTGCCCTAAACACCTGCCACATGAAGCTAAACCAATAGTCCAGGAGTTAAAGTAACTACTCCTGGGCTTTGTGGCTATAGTCTGAGCAGCTTGCAACATCTGGAACATGTCACAGCTGCACACGATGGAAGTCTGACCTGTTTCCCTGGAAATACTGACTCGCCAGCTGGCACGCAGTGGAAGAAAGTGGGCACTAGGATATTAGCCCTGGAAAGGGGACAACTCAGGTCTGTCCAGGGCACCAGCAGCACACTGGCACAGCCCAGCTGGAGAGCAGCCAGCAGCAAAGACAACAACAGCCATTTGGTCTACTCTTACTGTACATCCAACCGCTTGTCTGTTTGTGTGGCTTTTGCTGCTTTGTTACAGAAGAACAGGGCAACCTTTGCAGAAAAAAAAGGAAGAAAGACATTTC